GCGCGGTAGCCATGGATGCTGCTAGCATGCGCTCATCAGGAGGTTTTGTTGCAGAGGCGGATATGTCATTCTTAGTCGCTTCGAAGGAATCCAGGAGATCCTGTAAGCTTGAAGGAAGGTGATATACTGACTCTTCCTCGTCGTCTTCAGCATGGGATTCACCATTTGTTAACGGCGGAGTAGCAGCCGAGGACTCTTCTTCTTCTACAGGTTCAGGAGCCGGTGTTCTTCTGCTGGACTTTGAAGCATCTTCCGACGAAGCAGCGCGCGAAAGCGTCTCCTTCTCGACAGCAGGCGTAGCGGGTATACTTGCCGCAGGAGCTGGCGATGCTTGTGCTGATTCGGCTGGCTGTGTGCGGGCGGCTGGTTGGGAATGTGTTATGGCTGGAGAACTCGTAGCACTTGCGCGTGCGCCAGGAGTAAGGCCTGACTGTGCCGCGGCAGCTCCCGGTGGTGGTGGCAAAGGGGCAATGCCCACTCCATTTTTATCACTCGCAGCTGCAGCGGCGGCGGCCGAGGCGTACTTCAAAGGCTCACCCGTCGTCCGTGTGGGTATCGGCGCGGGCTTCATGGCGTTGCCCGTGGTATTTGAGGCACCAGGCAGGGGCGTGTGCAGCGTTGCTAGTGCTGGTAATGGCGACTTCATCTGTGTCGAGGGCCGTCTCGCTGCTTGTTGCACAGCTTCTGTCGCTTTTGGCTTTGGCGCTGGTGGTCGTATGTCCGACTCGTCATTATCTGCTACCGACTGCGATTCGTGCGATGAGACCTGGTCCAGGCCTTCGCCCAAGCCGAAGATGGCCTCCTCCTCTTGCAAGTTGAAGTCGTCGTACATGGTGTCATCGTCGGCAAAGTCAGGGTCCTGGTTGCTTTCCACGTAGTACTTGATGCCGTCTTCGATCCCCTTGACCTGGTCTGTCTCGACGTTGCCGTTCTCGAGCGCTCGATGCAGCAGATCCAGCTTGGACTGATGCCACTTATTTCGCTCGACCGACTCTTCCAGCTCTGCTATCCGCTCCGCCTTGGAGTTGTCTCCCTTCTTCGTCTTCTTTACGTTGGCATGCAGCGTCTCGATTTCGGCCTCGATGGTCTCTATTTGCCGCTCCAGCTCCTCGTTCATTTGCTGCAGGAACTCAACCATCTCCATCTTCTCCTTGTCCTTGGGGTCGATCTTGGACGCTAATTGCAGCCCCTCCTTGGAGTATGCTTTCGTCTTCATCTCCTTTTCGACGGCCTTGAAGCGCTCCATTTGCTGTCACATGTCAGCATCCCATCATGCCAGGCCACGGCGGGCACCCTACTGTCTCGATGAGCTTCCGGTGGTCCAGCAACGGCTTCTTGTCCTTGATCTCGGACATGGCGGCCCACGTCTTGATCTGGTCCCGCGACCGCTGCAGCTTCTTGATCTCCTTCTTCAGCTGGTCTTCGAGCTTCTCCTTCTGCGAGGGATTGCCCGTTTGCATAATCTTCTCGTATATGTTCTCAAACGTCGCGACGCCTTCTGCGACTTTCTTGAAGCATTTGTCAATCTCCTGCTGGAGTTTCCGTGCGGCCATGGCGGTGGTGGAGCCTCGTTCTGAGGGCTTTCGCGAGGGTTACGGCAATGTTTGCGTCGGTGCCGGTGCTAGCCGCTGTGTGACAGTCGAATCGCGCGAATGAAGGCGTTCGACGGCAATAGTGTCGGGTTGTTTGTCGTGGGCTCAGTGCGGAGGTTGAGGTATCGCATAGGTAACGCGAAGCCACAGGGCTGGCCTAGCGTAATTGCCAAGAGTGCGGCCACTAGCCACCAATCGCCCCACGCGTCGCTGTTTCACCTACGCGTTCCACGTCTTCTCAGCCTCGTCTCACAACTATTGCATGTCTGAATTCCCATGTGTGACGTCGTTACGCGTCTCGACATATCACCCTGAGGCTATCGCGCAACGAGGGGCACCACCATCTTCCTCACACAGCTTTGTTGCTACCCCGCCATCATGAGGAGTACCGACCCCGCCACTATGCACTCGTAACCACGACCATACTAACACTGTCTAGCCGTGCTGCAGAGGGTCAAGTCGGCATCCGTCACAGTCGATGGCCAACTGGTCTCCTCCATCGGCAAGGGATTGCTGGTCCTTGCTGCCGTCTCCAAACACGACACTGAGAAGGATGTCGAGGCCATGGCTAGCAAGATACTAAAGGCCAAGCTCTGGGACGATGAATCCAAAGGCCCGGAAGGCCGTGTATGATGCCAGACTTGCCTCTTTTGATTTGAGACTGATCTGTCAAGTGGAAATGCAACGTGGCCGACATTCATGGCGAAGTTTTGTGTGGTATGTTGAAACGCTGAGACTCTCCTAGTTTGCCATGGTGGTGCCAATACTAGTAGTCTTGCTACGAAAAAGGGTATGCTAAGAAATCTCAGTTTCCCAATTCACCCTGTTGGCCTCAATGAGTAAAGGAAATAAACCTTCCTTCCACCAATCCGCAAGTGGCGAGGAAGCCAAGACTTTATACCAAGCCTTCTACAAGAAGGTGGGAGCCCTATACGAGCCTGACAAGGTCAAAGACGGCGTTTTCGCTGCTATGATGGACGTTGCTTTAGTCAATGATGGGCCGGTACGTTTAGATCACACCTCTCTGGACAGCCAAGTGCAACTTGAGCACTGCATACCCTGAGTATGTGCCGCAGCCGCCTACGCGTGCTAACAATCACGACTAGGTCACTATTCAAATCGATACCAATCCGCCAAAGATGGATGATACAAGTCCAGGTGGCTCGGTTCCGAACGCAGTTACATAAATGACGACAGACGTCAATGACCGCAAGCAGCATGCCAGTTTGCATTTGGACGACATACTAACATATCCGATTTCCTGTATCCAACAACATGACCAAGATCACGCATAAATTCCAGATACCCATGGAACGCCTTGAGTAGAATTCAATACGATCAGCATTCGAGATCACCTACATGCGCCCACCGACAGCATGATATGACATACCACACAACAAGTGTACACTCAGCATCTGGTATGTTGACCAACATGGTGACCACGATGATCGACGTCAACATGGCTCGGCCCAACGGAAATCCAATCAAGTTTCGCGCAATACCTTCCCGAGGTTTCTCGGATCGATCCTCCATTCCATTGCCGTGTCTCTGACGGGAAACTTGCTTAAGCAGCCGCAATATACGCGCCAGGTAAATACAACCATCGTCTACGCATGTTGCCCGGCATAGCTGCCCGCCTCTACAAGATGTCTGCTTATGTCAGATCTGTCGGCTAGACGGCTTAGCTGTAACTCCACTCCGGAGACAGGGGTTCACAGTATTCTGACACATTGTGCTTCGTTAGCCGACATGCAGTTGGATTACATCTTGCATACGCCCGACATCATGGCAATCAACAGATTCCGCGAATGATACCACAACCTGCCGCTCAACTGAATACCTGTGCCGTTCCGGGTGGCGAACGCGAGTGGGGTGAGCTTGTAGATGGACTCAAAACTCATTCCTTGATGACTGTTCAACAGGAGGATACTTGGCTACCGGTCGCCACTCCCGTCCGAGCTCGTCGTACAGCTTTCCAGGCTGACAGGTTCTCCGAGACCAACAGTATAATGATTGTCATCATTGTCTGCTGACCGATATCTCTCGGAGCCAGAAAAGGTTCCACTGAAGCTAGAGCCTTATGATCAACGCCACGCGTCTGAAATATGATGCTTCCAAATAATATCCGCATCTCGATTAAATGGTTGGGCGCTTACCTCCAATGAGAGGACATACACCACCCAGGATCGTCTGAAACATATCCTTCCTTAAATTGCCTGCATCGTTGCTGACGGTTATACGAACGCGGGAATAGGTCGTAAGCGGTATGGTCTTCGTCTTCACCCGTGGAGTGGGCCGTGGCCACAATGTTCTTGATACCTTATCTTACACCTCGGTGGCTCTCTGGCTTATTCTGCACAGGCAGCTTTGTCATGGAGCGACTCTGTTCGTTCTGCAGGTCGTGTTTGCTTGATACACATACACGACAGTGGGCCGCCTGATCCGTACTTCCCAACTTCTATTTTTGTTCCTGCTTCGTAGTGCGCTCAATCTTCACCGAATCTGTGGCGCTCTTCGGCAGAACGGCTTCCAGTCCTCCTATGATCTTACGCATCTCTTTCCCTTCCATCATCTGAAATGCTTGCGTCGTCTAGCCCTCGATGCTTCTTTCCAGTTCGTCGTCAACCTGGTTTTCTTTTCGCGCTTCTTTTCGAACGACATCGCGATTGATCTTGCAAATCGACATCGACATAGCATGCCGTGACATACACCACTGATGTATATCAATATCTGCACCATTCCTCCTCTTTGGATAGCGAATATGCAAACATGGGACAGTATCGCATTCGATCGGGTTGGAGGTCTCCAATAGATCACGGTAGTGTCGCTCTGATATAGTAGAGTGAACAGTGTCGCATCAACCACGCTTAAACACTCGCTGCGTTTAAGCAATGTTTCTGATCCTCACAGATTGTGCTGGATGGATCTCGCTCCCTGGATACTTCTGGTGGGCCCACGAAATGTTCGATCTCGGTCTATCCCAACAAACCAACACACTCCTATCTCCGGCCTTCCCGTACGTCTTCCATGCTCCCGAGGGCTGCGCATCGCTCAGAGTTCCGTATCGGTTTCAGGGAATTGCGTAAAATGCACAATACTGAAAGACAGTGTCTCATCACTGCGACTGAGGTCGCAGCAGATATCCTGTAATATTGATGTGCCGAAGTGATTCGGACTCATTGGGGGCTGCTACCAGACCTTTATATGAGATTCTACCCTTCAAAATTACATCGCTGATGGAAGCATGCTCCCGACTACCATTTGCCCGATTTGGATTGTAACGTGCGAGGCTTAGTGTATCGAGCTGCATACCGCGGCAAATATGAACGGATTCCACACGCTTACTGAGCATCCAGATGGGAAATTTTCCTGGTCAACCAATAAAAAATCTGGTATTGGACTTTCAATCTACCTGGTTGGTCGACCTGGTCTTCTGAGTGCATATCGTGGAATGCCCTCAGTTGCCAGTAGATCATCCGGTATCTTCTTCTTTTGCCTGGCCTTCTTCTGGCCAACTTCAGTAAACCTAACAGTATCACCATCATCAACTCCCTCATTCTGAACCTTCTTCTTTGGCCAAGCTCTCTTCCTATCGACTATAGTAAATTCGCCCTCACCATCGTCCACTTCTCGTTCCTCGCTCTTTTTATCCTTTGTCTCTTCACAGACCAACAGTCGTTCTTCCCCCTGTCCCGGTTCTGGCTCCGGCTTCTTCGTTTCCTCAAACCAGCTTTTGACAAACACAACTTCTTCCTCTTCTAGAATTCCACACACATCACACGATAGCACTTCGTCCTGTATGGGTTTACCATCATCATCATAGTCTGACCACACCCAGAAGTACTTGCAATACCAGCAAGTGAAGCCTGAGCAGTCCTGGTCATCGCGTGCTGTAATAATTGCGTCCGCGCATTCTGCGTCACAGGCGGGTGTGTTACATGTTTGACATGGGCCATTGGGAGAGGTTAGGGTACCGGGGGTGTTGAAGTGGGCGCAAAGGTGGCAGACCCAGCCACGGAGGGGGGTGGCGGACTGCGAGATGTTAGTGCCCTGCTACGTCTTGATAAAAAAGGAAGCTGGGTTATGGAAAGAGGGACTCACGTCTCGGACTGTTGCTGCAGATTGCTTAACGGCGGATATCTGAGTCCGTTGATCAGGTAGCTCCGGGACCGCTAGGATGTCTTTTTCTTTCGTATAGTCAGCATGTAAGTAACTGGTGCTATCGGGCGAGATACTTACTTCTCATGAGATCCATATGGCCTGCTAGTACTTCCCTTTTGTCAATTTGAGTAGCGTTCTCATCCCGGGACTAGGAAGAACTATTAGTACTTATACATGTGCATGAGCTACAGAGTTCCTGGCAAGACATGACCACAAGCACGTGGAAGAGTAGAGATCATGCTAGGAATGTCTTGACATGTGTTTGCTCTCTTTCTAATGAGATCTGGAGCGTGATTATGACGTTTCGGGTTCACAATATTTGTCTATAGATACGGTCGGTTGATCCTTTCTGGAACTAATCCCGTTTCGCCTCATTCTCTACCATATCTAAGAAGAGCAACATGAACCCGCCATCTACTAGTAAGTTCCTCCATTCAGTTCTTGGTGAAGGAGAGCATTTCGAATTAATCCGCATGTAGAGCAAGAAATCCTCGGGTTGTCCAGCAGTTCCAGAAACCGTGCAACATCTGTTGTACGCAATGCTGTAAAAGATGTCCGCACGAAACATCCTAAACAGCGCGGGTGGATCTGTCACCTCTGCTCCCATTACAACAGACCTAGTCCCACCACACCAGGAGCCTTGTGCCGTTGTGGACATGTAGCTTGCCCATCTACAATGCATATTTCTAGAAGAGCCGCTATGCAGCCTGGCGCCTGTTTCTCTGTCCAAAACACGAGTAGAGCTGACCCCAGTTGTGACGGTTGGGTGTGTTTCTTCTGTAACATCTACACTACACGGCCCGCCAACGTCCTTTACTCAGCTTGGCGTCTTATATGTACGACGTGTGCGAGTGTAGAGGAGACAGAAGTTATGTTCGTGAAGAGGGTTTGAATGGTGGGCAACGCTGTCACTTGAAGGACGTCTTACGGGTAGTTGACTGTTACCTGGCCTTCTTTCATGCTAGCCATTGGAGTTGTATCTTGGCGGGCGACATAGTTATAATAGCTTCTCGTATCGGAATCTTCGCAAACCTCTGAGCTTTCAGAGAGACTGCTGACGTTCTCCCTACATGTTTGTTGCTTTTGTGTGTGAAACGATATTCCAAATCATGGCGCCGGTCCAGGATCCGGTCCTTGTTCGAACAGTCCTAGCGTAGTCCACAGTCCGCGTCGCGTCGCGCTCGAGATAAACCGTCTCTCTCGTGCTTTGGTGGATAACCTCGGGAAAGAGTGACTTGCTAGGACCATGGGGGTCGTTTTGGCGCATTTTGAAACATGCAATATACAGTTGGACAAAAGTATAGTAATGACGGTCGACACATGTTGGTGTTCTTCCTGACCCACTTAACCCTGATGACGCACCATGATCCACATCCATCAGTGGTTCGGCGTCCTCCTCTCCTTTCTATTCCACGAGCTTTGCAAGTCGGCGTCCAAACAAATAATAGCGACGGTGGTCACAACCGGTCTACACACTTGGTATCCCGGAAGATGCGGCTCTCGTATTGGCATTAGCCAGATGGGGAAATACTCGCGGCGGGTATCGTTCTGACCCTGCATATACATTTCATGAGAATGGTCTAGCGTCAAACCACCTTCGATCTGACATTTATCGCACCACAATATTCCTTCGTAATCACCTCAATGTTACGAAAATACTAACAGAAACATTCATTAATGCAGATTGCACGTGGCCGTCGCGGTCTGGGTGCTTCCCTTGTTGAGTGCGCGCCTTTGACTCTCTTGCTACCATGTGCCGTTGCCGATGGGTGGCGAGTGTGGCCTCTGCTCGCGATCTGGATCGGAGGGTATGCCGTTAGACGGCGTCATGAAGATCGCCAGCTCACAACGGATTGCGCGGTGTCTGGAATCCTATACGCTTGGTTGGCAAGGGAGAACTTGATTGCGACAGCATCGAAGAGTTGGAACATATGGATGAGCTGGATTCGTAGCGCCGAAAGGACGTCTCTCATATACGCAGTCTCTAGTGTCGCATTGCCGCTTACTATACTCGCATTCTTCCTATGGCGTACCTTCGTTAGTAGCAAGAACACAACTGCAACCCCGCTCGATATCAGTCGGTGGAGGTCTCAAATAGAGACACCAAAGCCGAAGATCTTCCCTTGCCAGACGACGCATGCTCGTATCTTCCCGAAACGCCATGGCTTCGCATACTCGTACCTCCAGTGTGGATTTCCCATCGTCTCGAGCGGAACGAAGTACAACGGAATAGAGTTTCCGAGTGGAGAAGATCGAACTTTGGGTAGATGGTGGCTACGTGTCAGAGCGGAGGACTATCTGGAGCGAGGCGGTGGCGCTTTTGGTTTCTACTGGAAGCTGAGGACGTACCTGAGAGCCCAACATGTCGAAGATTCCGAATGGGAATATGCCTACTTGGTGACGGCACCACGCTTCTTCGGCTACGCATTCAACCCAGTCTCGTTCTGGTATGTCTACGATCGCGAGCATGAGCTCAAGAAGATGATACTTGAAGTCAACAACACGTTCGGCGAAAGGCGCATGTACCTGCTTGACGGATCAAGCCCTTCCAGCCCGCCACGCACATCAGACTCTGAGCAGACGTCTGGTTCGGAGGGCCAGGAATCGCAAGTACCTGTCGAAGCGAAGTCCAAGTTTACCGATGTCTGGATGAAAGACTTCCATGTCTCGCCGTTTAACTCTAGAAAGGGTTCGTATGCGTTGAAGGCACAAAACCCTTTTCCGTGTGTTGATTACAGGAACCCTATGATCGATAATACTATCACACTCAAGTCCTCCAAGGATCATGGGAAGCTTGTAGCACGCCTTTACTCCACCGGAAAGGCTATTGATACTGACCAGTTGGGCCTCTTCGGAACTATGCGGTTCATTCTAAGCTGGTGGTGGGTAGGGTTCGTTACGTTCCCGCGCATTATCAGAGAAGCTTTCAAGATCTTCTTCAAGAGAAAACTGCATGTGTGGTTCCGACCAGAAGTCCTGACGTCGAGCGTTGGCCGACTACCCACATCCGCTGACATGTAAGTACGATGGCATTAATGAATGAACGCGGCTGACAGACCAAGCACACTTTATAAAGTGTTCAGAAACTACCTGCATCGGCTTGTAGAAGAAGCGGAAGTAGATTTTAACATTACGTTCCAAGCCTCGATTCCAAACGTTCCCACCAATATGGTTTGCCCGACACATGTACCCGGTCGAACTCGGCCCAGAAAGAACATGGAGATCCGCGTGCTTACACCAGCATTCTACTCGCGGCTAATTCACTACACGTATACTTCCGAGGCCATCGACCGTGAGTGCGTCTTCACCGATGAACGGAATAGAACTTTGTGGATGTGTCGCCCGCAGCTTCTACCTCTGCTGCTTCCAGAGCGCTCGGCGACACGCCTCGAAGAGAAGGACACGCCGCCAACGAGAAGGAGTAGTCTTGACGAGCTGAGGTGGTGGTTGCTGAAAAAGTTGAGATGTCCGCCAGCTGACCCTGCATACTCGGTAACGCCGCAAAGCTCCGCAGTGAACGTTGATGATATCCGTGCCAGACCATTTTCCGAGTTGGACAGGTACGTCAGGGGTTTCTTCGGGCAGCAGTACGCTTGTGAGTACAGAAGGACCGTTACGAAGCTTTTTCTAGCACATCGGTTTTGTTTCGGATTTCCGGAAATAGTCGGCCTGGTGGATTTGGTGATCAGGGTTGTGTTGTGCTATACTGCTGCACAACAGCTGAAGAGCTGGAGTGGGTCTTCGGCGGGCTTCTTTTCAGCCAAATGCCTAGAAAGCATGGTAACAGGAAGGGATTGGTCTGCATACTCTGATGCACTCGAAGTACGCCAGTTGGATTGGTGGTGGTTGGTAAAGAGCGCCTTGTTGGTGTACTCATGCCACGCGTACGAATCGTTGAAGGGTTATAGTTAGGCACGAAGATCTTCCATCTCATCTCAACCATCATTGTCATCGTCAGAGTACTGATATATCACCCGTAATGGCAGCAATGATCATTGGTATGCGACGTCGTCACAACCATTTGCCGGGATCGTCGTCGCTGCCGAGCGAGGCTTATCCGAAATATCCCAGACGCAACAATGACAACTCTCACGTGTTTCCGAGCAAAAGCCCTCTAAACAGCGAACACGCCAGCCCGTGAAAGTTGCAGATCAATAGCGGTTCTGGCCTTTTCCGGATAGGATCAACCGAGGTTAAACCCGCGCGACGCTAGCGACACGCGACCCCAGGTTTTAGCATGCGCCTTCACATGCACAAAAGACGAAAGCAAAGTACAAACATCAGCATGTGAAGCTGCAGGCGGTCGCGTGCCGTTGTGTAATAAGTCTCAGGTCCATCGAAATGGGGGTTTGAGAGGGGTTAATAATGAAGATGCAGCTGTGTCTGGAACGAGATGGCATCCTCACCAAGCAATTGGCAAACGTCATCCCCGTCACGGTTCCGCTGGTCCCATCCCCACCCGATCTACACCAGTCATGCTTTCAGAACGTCAATTCCCCTTGGGCCGAGGGCAACTCAAACAACGCTCTAGCATGACTGCCACGCTAGATCTTCTTGCCAGCTTCCTCGGATGCTCCAGTCGGGCCAATGGTGCGCTCAGCCGGTTGTCCCCGAGCTCTTGGGCTAAGAAGTAGAGCTGGGATTGTGCTAACCTTGATGGTAGGAGATGCTGATGCTACACTTATAAGCTTGGCTCCCCAGGTTTGTGGCACGGTAGACCGAGGCTAGAGTGTGTTGTGTCATCGCTGGTCATTTATCAAAAGAGAGGTTTCCCTCGTGCTTTCTTACATCTTTATACCTACTCACCTACCTACCTACCTACCGAACCAAAGGAATCCAGCGTTCTTTAATTGACACACGCTTCATACATCATCTACCAATAACGCAAAGTTCAACCGCGATGTCGAATATTGACGCAGAAGACGCGCAGTTCCAAAAGGAAGTTGAGGAGGTTAAGCAATGGTGGTCAGATTCGAGATGGCGGTTCACTAGAAGACCATTTACAGCAGAAGACATTGTTTCAAAGAGAGGCAATCTTAAGATTACCTACCCAAGCAATCATCAGTCGAAGAAGCTTTGGGAAATTGTTGAAGGCCGCTTCAAGGTATGATAGTCCTTCATGATGCCAGCCATGCGATCTAATCAAATCCAGAACAACGATGTCAGCTTCACATACGGATGTCTCGATCCCGTCATGGTCACACAAATGGCGAAATACTTGGACACTGTCTACGTATCCGGATGGCAAGCATCGTCAACAGCTTCATCAACCGACGAACCAGGTCCTGATCTAGCAGATTACCCCTACGTGAGTCAAGTTCTTTGATATCTAGAAGGGAAAGAAAGCTTACATGCCTAGACAACTGTACCTAACAAAGTTGGTCACCTCTTTATGGCGCAATTGTTCCACGACCGAAAGCAACGCGAAGAGCGCCTGACTACTGCAAAAGCCGACCGCGCGAAAGTCGCCAGCGTTGATTACCTGCGACCGATTATTGCGGATGCAGATACCGGACACGGAGGCCTTACGGCTATCATGAAGCTCACCAAGCTCTTCATAGAGAAGGGCGCGGCTGGTATACATATCGAGGATCAAGCACCAGGAACGAAGAAGTGCGGACATATGGCTGGAAAGGTCTTGGTACCTATCAGCGAACACATCAACCGTCTAGTCGCTATAAGGGCACAGGCAGACATCATGGGTAAGATAACATTAACTAAGTATCGACTGCGAACATGGCTCACATTGTTGCACAGGAACCGACCTACTTGCCGTTGCCAGAACCGACTCAGAGGCCGCTACCCTGATCACATCGACCATCGACCCTCGCGACCACCATTACATCCTAGGCTGCACAAATCCCGCCCTTCAACCGTTGGGCGAGCTCATGTATGCCGCAGAGCAAGCTGGTAAGAACGGCGCGGAGCTCCAGGCTATCGAAGATGCATGGACCAAGGAGGCCAACCTGAAGCTTTACCATGAGGCAGTGATTGACACGATAAATGCTGGTGTACACGTGGACAAGCAGAACATGATCAACGAGTTCTTGGAGAAGAGCAAGGGCAAGAGCAATTCAGAGGCACGCGCCATTGCCGCAGGTCTGACTGGCGTTGATGTGTACTTCAACTGGGACGCCGCAAGGACCAGAGAGGGTTACTACAGATATCAAGGTGGCTGTGAATGTGCTATCAACCGCGCCGTTGCATATGCACCCTACTGCGACATGATTTGGATGGAGTCGAAGCTGCCTGATTTTGCGCAAGCGAAACAGTTTGCCGACGGTGTCCATGCTGTGTGGCCTGAGCAGAAGTATGTTCCTTCACTCCTGCTTTCATCGTCCATGCTAACAATATTGATAGACTGGCGTATAACCTCTCGCCCTCATTCAACTGGAAAGCCGCCATGCCACGTGAGGAGCAAGAAACCTACATCCAACGCCTGGCCAAACTGGGTTACTGCTGGCAGTTCATCACGCTCGCCGGTCTGCACCAAAGCGCTCTTATGGCCGACACATTCTCCAAGGCATATGCTAAGCAGGGAATGCGGGCGTACGGCGAAATCATTCAGGAACCCGAAGCGGAGAACAAGGTCGATGTGCTTACGCATCAGAAGTGGAGTGGAGCAAACTACGTCGACAATCTTCTGAAGATGGTGTCCGGTGGTGTAAGTTCGACGGCGGCTATGGGCAAGGGTGTCACCGAAGATCAATTCAAGTAAATATTCGTGGCGAATCGTTAATCAGAAGGGCGTTTTACGTATGCAAAGTCTTAAGATATTTCCACCGCAACTGAACCGTGTTCATTTGCTCTTAACTTGTAAAACACACCCGATAAGGTCAGTAATATACCTTTGCGCATATTTTGTGTAACCTTTCTCTTACTAGTGTTTACCGCTTGGTGTAGACACCGGAAACCGTTTTCTAATATGATACTGCAAAGCCATCCTATATTCTCAACCACAAGCTGTCTCATCCCTCCCTATTCGGAAATTGACTCCAAAAGAAGGCTGCAGTTATGTTCTCCAGCCCGGCGTACAAGATACGACTTACCAAACCTCTCCCACTACGAAGTTGACCAGAGCTTTGGCTCTCAGCCTACAGTATAGAAGCCATACTCGAGGCTACCGCATGATGCCACCTCAGGAGAACGATTCGAAATTGGTAAAACCTTCCAGAAGCCATGCAATCTTCCCCTCTCGCAAATAACTTCCACAGGCAACCCAATCTCTCAGAACCCTAACAGAGAGTAATCCCTACTTCTACGGCCGATGCGCTTCTGTAGATATGAGCATATTCGAAGCCTCCATAAGGAGCAAGCGGCCGAACATGTCAGGCGATTTTGTAACGGTGAGCCGAACCAGAATGGATAAGCTATACATATGCCACATGTACTCGGCAGCGGTGGACGGGAACTTCATGTCCCAGCTCATCCTTTAGGCGGGGTTCAGCTCCAATTCAACACGCCTTACAGTTTTGCATGGACAGAAGGCATATTTACACCGGGCGTTATCCTGTATCGGAAGGAAAGTGATGGGTTTCTTTAGGATGATACCATGACACTGAAGCTTGATGGCCCTCGCTTTGCGCTTAAGCAGAGGACGGATCGTCATTTTTCTCTCGCTGAAGGATGTCTGTGGTTTCATGTGATGGGTTCTGAGGAGGGTCACAGTCAAGTAACGAAGAGTAGACTCTGGTACAGCACACGGAGGCAGTTTGACGCTCTAACCACGAGGATTGACAATATCGCCCGCTTCGCATTGGGCCATGTAGTTCAGGGATGTCGTAGGAAGAAATCGCGTAGTACATGTCCACATGCGCTATCTCAAGACACCTGTCCTAACAGTATGCCACTACTTCTCTGCAGCTGCTAAACCCTCCCTTATCCCAATCGTGACTCGGAGTCCTGCGTACCGCACTGAAAATGCAATCTTCCTCTCTGGACTTGACCTCCGAATAGCCGTCGTATCAGAGCTGTATGAATATTTCTCTATTTTGCCTTCTACGCTATTGATTAGGCTCTACCCGCATCATTACGTGCCGATATGGGCGATTGCAGCCGACATCACGTTCCCAACGGGGTCCGCTGCTATCATCTGCACCAAGGTATTTAATTATTTATGGCACAAGTAAAGAAAAACTATTGAGTCGAACAATTGGACTCCGCGAGTTGGTAGGATGCTAGAGGGCATCAATGCGACATGGCTAGAAGAGGAAATGGCAGAAAACAAAGAACCCAGCAACAACTGCTGCCATGTCGCTACCCGATGGAGAAAAGATATGGCTTTTTATGCGCGGTAGAACTGGTCTAGCTGAGTTGCTCCCTTGACGTCCTCGGATATTTTTGCCTCGGTTTAATTTTTCCTTCTCTTCCAATGATTTTATATCAAGCCATATTCTAGTATGACCATCTTTTCCCCAAGATTGAATTGTACCCAGCCTATAACCTTGATGTGAAGTATTCCGATCGAAGCGTTGGAAGTTCAGTATATGAGATTAACCTTACATTGCACCTTCTTAGCTCCTGTTGCTGCTATTCAGCGCTTCCAAGGATGTCAAGGCCACATCCAAGAACCATGAGATCTTGGGTACTTGCCCAAGCCGCCATGGTGCCGCCAAGAGGACAACATGGTGCTCTGAGACATATATGCCGCGCATTCCCCATCGTCAGATATCATCTTCCTACACATCGATTGTCTTCGAAACGTCTTCCTAATGTGAATTTTTCTTCTCGCGTTTTCTTGGGTTGTAGAGCAATGAGATGCTCTTGTGTCATCAGTACCTAATCAGCTGCTCCGTGCGCCACCAGCTAAAGCCCCCGTTTTCCAGGGACCTCGGCGGCCGTGTGCCGTGCTTTTGGCCGTCGACTACGACATGCGAATCTACACCAGATGACCTGCCCAAACCGCACGACATGGAAATCCTGGAGGAAGAGGCGACAAGACGAGCTCCATGAGGACCTTCGGATGTTCCGCGATACACAATCGCTTCTAGAAGGCTAGAGAGCTGCGCTTCTGCGTTCCCATAGCCGGGCGTGGCCACCTTCCTAAAGAGCACCCATCCGGCCTTCTTGGCAGGAGGGAGCTTGCCTCCGCCGACATCTACCCACATCAGTACGCTCTCCAATCGAGCCCCAGTAATCTCGCAATTGAGCGCCACTATCAGGTACGCCCAGGCGCTGCCCAGACCATCTACCAGAACGAAGCAGGCATTGGCGCAGCTTGTCTTTACCAGCTGCTGGATCAAGCATGAACGGTGGAGTCGCCGTTGGCGAATGATAAGAGATGGCCGATATTGAAATGCTTGGCAGACGGGGGAACGACTGCGAGTGTACGCGATTGCTGCAGAATTGCACGCGATAGCTGCACTCTAGGGTTAGGGAACAGGTCCATGGGAATTGTACATGGTTACACACGCACGACCGGTCGATCGGTGCAGCAAACATGTATAAAGGCTGCAATCCGCACTCCAGATGGAAGACACAGCTGCAGCTTGCTTCTACCATCTCAACCGCCCGAGATAGAACAGCTTTGTCAATATGAGGGTTACTCTCGGTCTTGCAGCTCTCGCCGTCGGCGCCTCGGCCATCCCTACCGAGCTTAGGGAACGCCAGGATGGTCACAACTCCAAGCCATGCCCCAAGAAGCCCTTGGTTACCAAGGTATGCAGCTCCGGTTCTTCACGGTCGCGTTGGACGTATGCTGATGATTTTGTAGGATGCTCTGGAGAAGGACATTACCATCAAGAAGTTGATGAGGGGTGCTCAGCAGCTTGAGGACTTTGCCTACAGCTACCCAGCTCGTAACAGGATCATGGGAGGACAGGCTCACAACGATACTGTCAAATGGCTGAAGAAGGAGCTTGAATCTACTTCGTACTACGATGTTACACTTCAGCCCTTCTCCAACTACGTCATGTTGAACGGCACTCTCAATGCATTCACCATCGACGGACGTGCGATTAACTCTACCATTCTTGAGTACTCCGCGTCTACTCCAGGTCTCGTCACCGCACCCATCGTCCCCGTCAACAACCTCGGTTGCGAGGCGTCCGACTTCCCTGCCGAGGTATCTGGTGCCATTGCGCTCATCTCGCGTGGTAGCTGCGAGTTCGGATTGAAGTCCGCCCTTGCTGGAAGCGCTGGAGCTGTCGGTGCCATTATCTACAACAATGTTGCAGGCACAATCAGCGCCACTCTTGGTCCTCCTCCTCGTCCCGAGGGTGACTACGTTGCAAGTGTAACTCTCTCTTTGGAGGAGGGTCAGGCCATCGTTGCCAAGGTCGCTGGCGGTGCTACCGTTACCGGCACATTGGATGTTTTGACCGACGTCCAAGTCATCACCACCAACAACGTTCTGGCCACCAGCAAGTGTGGTGACAAGAACAACCAGCTCTGGCTCGGTGCTCACACTGACTCCGTTGGCGCTGGTCCTGGTATCAACGACGATGGCTCCGGAACTGTTGCTATCTTGAACGTTGCCAAGTCTCTTGCCAAGTACAACGTCAACAACGCTGTCAGCTTCGGTTTCTGGTCTGGCGAGGAGTCTGGTCTTCTCGGCTCTACCTTCTTCGTCGAAAGCCTGTCTCCCGAAGCAGCTCTTGATGTCCGCGCTTACCTCAACTTCGACATGATTGCGTCTCCCAACTATGTTCATCAGATCTACGACGGTGACGGCAGTGCTTACGGTCTGAGCGGCCCCGCTGGAAGTGACGATATTGAGGCCTTTTTCGCGGGATACTTCAAGGATCTCAACATTCCCAGCAACGAAACCGAATTCAACGGCCGTTCTGACTACGGTCCTTTCCTTGACGCCAACATTCCCGCTGGAGGCACAACCACCGGTGCTGATGAGGTCAAGACTGTCGAGGAGCAGGCTATCTGGGGTGGCGTTGCAGGAGAGATCCTTGACCAGAACTACCACCAGGCTGCTGACAATGTCACCAACCTTAACGAGGAGGCTTGGCTTCTACACTCCCGCGGTATTGCTGCCGCTGTTGCTCATTACGCTACCTCTTGGGAGGGAATTCCCGAGCGTGTGCCTGCTAACGGCACTGCGAAGAGGAGCGTTCGCGAGCCTGTCGTCCGAAAGGGTGTCAAGGGCGGAAAGGTCACTCTTAAGCTTTTGTAAGTTTAAGGTGATTGCACTTTGTATATAGTGAATGATGATGAGACCGATGATAAAACGAATAATATATTTTGATCACACACATTTACCTTCCCTTGATCATGAGTGATGTATTCGTGCTAGCCCCGCTGGCTTTCTAGGCACTATCTTGATGTTGCGCTGAGCTTACTACTTCCTCAGCCGCCAATGCGGCGTATTCCATACGCACGCGAATTCTGCACAGCCCCATATGAATCGGCTAAGCGGCTCGCGAAAGCTTCTCACCGCGACACCGCGGCTGAGCGCACGCGTGTGGAAATGAGGCTTATTGTGATCAGCTGAAGTGCAGATAATGGAGCGCCTAGTTTGGTATATGTATCTTAAATGAGACGCGTTCGCGTCGTGGTTGATAGTTCCGCGAACCCTTAGAAGAGAACAACAACAGTTGATAGCACTGCGTTCCACGCGACACAAAACATATTCAATTTACGACAAGGATTGGGTACGACAGAGGCGATTTTCCACTGATTCTGAGTGAGTCACTTACTCAATAGTCTGAGGTCATCAATCGTTCTGAGAGTTGTTTTGGGCGTCGACGTACCAAAACAAAGGGTTGCCTGAACGAGGCTGTGCGAGCCGCAACGCCTTTCAAATTACCGCGCTTTCAAGCTCGCATACATCTGATCGTGGTCTGCTTCAACTCTCGAGATTCGCACGTTACCACAAGACCCGTTGATTGAGAAGAGAAAAGAGACGAAGAAGATCGCAGCCATGGATACCGCATCGCATGCATACGAGGCCTTTCCAACCTTCGATACATATTCCGCCCCCACAACCCCACAGCACGATCACGATGCACCGATACCCACAACTTCAGACATCACAGCGACAACATTCGAGCCCTTCTGCCTCCAGTACGAAGGCCCCCTATACACAGAGATAAACATTCCACTGCCCCACATCCCAGCACCACCAACAACCTCGTCCGCATCACCACGCCTATCCACATCCGCCGCCTCATGTACATCGGACACGACAACTGAGAAACGACGAGGACGTTCCCGAACCCTCTCTTCCCTCTCCCCCTTCCGACACCGCTCCTCCTCATCTGCTTCAAACCCCATATCCTCGCCCACATCCCCCACTCTTTCTCCTTCCAGGAACAGTGAAGAATGGCCGCGGATCCGACGAGACATTGTAAAGTCCCGTGAAGTAAACGCGATGATGAATCTACGGCACCAGAGCAAAAGGGGCAGGAGTGGGACTATTGATGCGCTTGCTGTTGTTCCTGCTGTGCTGGTGCTAAGCGCGGAATTGTTTACGCCTGAGGAGGAGAATGGGAGGGGTGGGAGGGAAGGGAGAAAAGATAGTGGAGTGGGGAGGTGGGAGGATGGAATCAGGTGAAATGGCTTCTGATCTGAATTGAAGTGCTTGTTTGAATGTGTATGTGCAGTACGGACAGGTACATGGTAGAGGGGAGGTGGTTGGCGTAACGACCTGACATGGCTTGCTTTGGCTACGGATGCCAGGGTACTGGTAAACCGCTCGCATGTGGATATGCGGCGGACCTTGCCTGACACACTCTGAGAAGGATTAGTAGGATGTTACATCAGTGGTATGGGATCAATCGGGAGTATCGAGGTCGCAGCCGTAGTCGCCATATTACGCTATGGCGACCTCGACACAGCTATGAAGCTGGTGTGTATGAGCATTGTAATGAGGGAAAGAAGAAAGAGCGAAACGTGTCAATGGCCGTTAAACATTGTTCCTAGATAGCCGTATGTAGCAATAACCTATGTTGGTGTTTGTCTGACGACGTATCTTGAGGATTTGATTCGACGAGGATGACGTATCTTTGGCACGTTCGCTAAGCTGCGAGTATAGTGGACGCTTGGTGACGGCTAAAGACAACGGCAGGGCGCAAGGTACCGCATTGGGTGACCGCTGCAGGACATATTCCGTGGATGACCGGATGCAAGTTGAGGATTTCGGAACCATGTATGGTTATCCGAAAGCGCCTTCCTAGGTAGTAGTCGGGTGGGCACGTGAGGGAGCCGACTTCGGTAGGCGCTACCGGACCCTTCCCTTGGTCCAGGGAAGCGGCCACTGAGGATGGCGCAATTACTGACCGCCAACCAGTACATGTGAAACGGCTACGGTGGGCGATAAAGGCGAGTATAGCTCGCGTGGAACCTGAGTCATTGCATCCGGTGTGCTTGCTGTGGCATGCAATGCAGACTGCAGCCATTGCATGCTCTAGAAGCATTCCAGCGGCTGTGAGAAGCGTGGGAAAAGCGACATGGGTTCGGCAGAAAAAGTTGCAACCGCCGAAAGAAGCGAAAACCTCTCTGGCCCGTGACGACAGAACCATTCATCTTTCATCATGCTGCCCAATTCCTGAGCGCTGACTGCTCCACCCAGCCATTACCAGGGCGGAAACCTTAAATTCGACTAAATCTTTTCCCTCTATCGATAAGAGGAATTTCTCCGCGAAAGGCTCCCTCCTTCACTAATCTCTTCTTGCTATACTGCCCGCCGCGAAGTAACGGACCACCTCCCCACACCACCACCTCCACCAGCCGTCGTCATGAGGAACATCGTGGTACTGGGCGGAAGCTCTCACCCGCAGCTCACCGAGTAGGTCGCAGTCGAACGCGCTTGCGGCCCCAACTAACTGGCGATAGGACTATCTGCAACCACCTCGGCATACCCAAGGCCAAGGTGCTTCTTGACAAGTTCAAGGGCGGCGAGACGCGCGTTGAGATTGAGGAGAGTGTGCGAGGAAAGGATGTCTTCATCATCCAGTCTGGCGGCGGTAAAGGTACGAAGCTCTCCGGCGCATTATCCTCCTAGCCATAGTGGTACTGCAGCGCACCTGGGACGGAACACGACGCCCGCGTGCCATTTTGATCTCTCGAGAACCCCGCTAATGCTCGTGTTGCGCGCAGTCAACGACCATCTGATGGAGTAGGCCCATCCTCATGGTGTAGTTGAGTGAAGTGCCTGACCGTCCGACAGACTTCTCATTACCATCTCCGCCTGCCGTACCGCCTCTGCGAAGCGCATCACCGCCGTCCTTCCGCTCTTTCCCTACTCGCGACAGTCGGACATTCCATACAACAAGACTGGCGCGCCTCTTTCCAAGGTGCCTGGGCGCTCGAGGACCGGCACATACACGTTCGACTCGCGACCGCAGACGCCCTTCCCAGGCCAGGCTGAAAGCGCCGGCATAACCAATGGCTCTGCAGCGCTGCACCACCAGCTCAGTAGGATGAAGATGGATGAGCGCAACGGCGGCCATGCCAACGGGAACCCCACAAGCCCCGTCAAGCAGAACGGCATCAAGCGTTCCGAGACGGTCGACTCGGGCAAGTCGGACAAATCCGACAAGTCTGCCTACTTCGACGTTGGCAAGGAAGCCAATGGCGCCAACGGCACGGCTGCCCCAACCCCAGGTTTCCTCACGCGCGCACCCACAACCACCAAGCCTCCTGCTTTCGAGCCCCAGGTCGGATACCGCCAATGGGTTGCTCAAGCCGGTACCTTGATCGCGGACCTGTTGACCTGCGCTGGCGCTGACCATGTCATCACCATGGATCTCCACGGTAGGATACATGTTGTCTAGGTACAAGACAACGCGCTGACAGACTGCTAGATCCACAGTACCAGGGCTTCTTCGATATCCCCGTGGACAACCTCTATGGCCGTCACCTCCTCCGCAAATACATCCAGTTCAACATCCCCAACTACCAACAAGCTGTTGTAGTCTCCCCTGATGCTGGAGGTGCGAAGCGCGCAACCGCCATCGCCGACGCTCTCGGCATGCCTTTTGCCCTCATTCACAAGGAGCGCCGCCCCACACAGATCAACGACCGGCAAAACGCGACCATGATGTTGGTTGGAGACGTCCGCGAGCGCACAACCATCCTGGTTGATGATTTGGCGGATACGTCCAACACCATTACTCGCGCGGCGAAGCTCCTGAAGAAAGAGGGCGCTACAGAGGTGATAGCCCTCATTACACACGGTATTCTGAGCGGAGATGCCATTGAGCGTATCAACCAGAGTGCTCTAGACAAGGTCATTGTGACCAACACGGTGCCCCAGGAGGACCACAAGAGCAAGTGCCCCAAGCTGGAGGTTCTCGAGGTCGGCAATGTCTTTGCTGAGGTAAGATCAAATTCCATGAAAAATAGCTTTGGAAGTATATGCTAACAATCTTCTAGGCCATCCGACGTGTTCACCATGGCGAGAGCATTAGCGTGCTTTTCGACTACAGTTAGTATCTGTACTCATCGAGTATCCGTTTCCTCGGACACCGTACCATTAGTCCCGCTATGCTACGCTCACTTCCTGCTTCCGAAAACACGTGTGAGAGATAGGGCAATGTGGTTCGAATGGGACTAGTCTGTTGCTAGAGAGATGCTACAACCTTCTGTTGATTACGAAAGTGATACGGATATGGATGTGGTGTTTCTGCTCTTGCATTCTCTTTATGTCCTGTTTATAGACTGCTGAGGAGCAGTATATCAAGTACCTGAACGTTGCATTATAGGCATACGTGCATGGGTTGGCGTTGGGTGGGTAGGCTGTTCTTTACTACAAAAACTTGCCTAGTTTTATGGACTGTGTGTGCTTTTCCTAGTCCAGATCACATTCAGAATAGAGTGCCCATTTGGTGTTTTTACATCACTCATGCGGATATGGTGCCCATGGAAGCGGTGTTAGCATTGCCATCACTTTTGCTTCCTTACTTTTGTGTGTCGTTCGTGTAGGATTCTGGACGACCGCAATCTTGTCAGACTCTGCTTCCAGGATTACGTGACACATATTAAGATGAAGTACATCATATTACATTATATTAGAGGTCCTTGTCTACATATAGCAAGGCATTCGCCTATAGGGGTATATCTAATACGGCCAAAATCACGAGATTATGACAGAATGGCAGCATGCTTGCAAAAGTAGAAGCCTTCAGACGCTGAACAGGGGTATATCGCACTCGTCACTTCGTCCATCAAGTACCTTACTCATTCAGCTTCGTCCTAGCCCTCCGGTCCCTCGCGCTTCTCCCTCCGCCTACTGTGTGTCCAGCCGCCGCACCCTGCGTCGATGCACTTCCGCGCCGACTTGCTGTGTAACCACTAATCATACTCGATGTAGCGCTTGGTCTTCGATGCGTGCTCGCTATACTGCTGTCTCGCGTTCCATTCATGGAAAGTACGAGATGCACTCGCGACGGTGGTGAAATAGGATGGTCGTTGACGTAGAAGCCGCCCGTGCCATCCTCGGTGATTTTGGTAGGAACCGCAGCAAGCTTGTTTCGTTGCTCAGTATGGTCAGGAGAGATTGGTCGCGCATTAACTTCTTCCACATGGCCTGCTTCGAGATCAATGTCGACAGTGCCGTCATTTGCAGTACGTAGAACTGCAGGGGCAAAGTCGTGAGGTGATATGGCTTCTTCGAGCAGGTCTTTGTCGGCGAATCCGGACATGTCACTGAGGGCTGGCGATTTGGTTTGCGTGATGTTTGAGGGGGTCAAAGTCATGCTCTTACTTCCAATGGTGTTGTTCGGTGAGCGCTTCGTCCCTGTACGTGCGCCCGTTGTCGCAGACTGTTGGTGGAGTAGCTGTGCTGTCTTCCGACCTCCTGCTGTGCGTGGAGAGTGATAGGACCACGGGGGTGGATTTCCTTCGTCGAAATTGCCGAGCTCGAAAAGTTCTCTCAATATTGTCCAAGTAAATGGTAGATTGGCAACGAGAATGGCAGCTGACGACTCTCGAACATACCAGTAAATCCAAGTTGACTTGTACGGGTTGCTGAAAGAGTAGTAGCTGTTCATGATGCTTGCAGCTACCACGAAGAGACCCAGAGAGAAGATGCCGCACAGGATTATCTTTCTCTTCATAGGAAGGAGCGATCGGATGAGCATTTGCAATGCAATGCACAGCATGATCAAGTCCGAGGATATGTTGAAGACAGCCTTAGTGATGCGGTGATGAACCAAGGCATTGCACTGGAATGAACTGGTCGGCACTGCATAATACTCCGAGAAAGGTCTACACCAAGCTGAAAAGTAGAGGACTTCTATGACCACAAATCCGAGTGCTGTGTAAACCGCGAGAATCTTGATGGCGATGTTTTCGTTGCGAAGAGCTGTCCGTGTTATGCGATGATACATGATCAGAAGACATGCTTTGCACGCCCAGATCACAGCGATGTGCATCTGCTCTACAACAACCACGAGCTTGCTCCCGAATCTTCGTCTCGATAGTTCGTCCACGGTGAGTGCGCTGAAGTCGAAATTTTCGGGTTCAAGGTTTGATTGGACCTTTAGCCATCGGTTTGCAAGTACAATCATAACCGTGTAAGCGCCGGTGACGAAGAGACCCATCGTCCAGTCATCGAACTGGAGACCTTTGACAGATCGGAACAACATCTTCCGTGAAATTCTGTATGGCAATTCCGTCAGAAAGTGGACTAATACGTTACAACGAAAATGTAATTCCCATAATGCTAGCCCTGAGGCGCGAGCGAGTAGAGCGTGAAGCGACCGACAAGAGCAATGCGCCCAGGACGCCACAGCCTCGCCCGCCAGCGCATCGCGTGCTAAGCCTTGTTCTTGATAGCAAGGACGCCTCTCGCATGTGAAAGAATGACATTGTTTGTAGAAGTTGCACTCACAATCTTGCTCCGATCATACATACAGCACACGTATACCAGATCCATGATTCCTGATTGAACGGTAATGGCATTGTCGAGTTGCAATGCGGTCAAGCCGCTGACGCCAGTGTCGCTATCCGTTAGGCCGCTTGAGGTTTAGAAGGCGAGATCGACGAAGGGTCATGTTGTATGGGAACACGATTATCGAAGCGCATCCAGAGCAGGAAGAGGGTGTTAATTATCAAGGGACAGAAGTGGACAGAGAAGAGGGTGTAGATACACACCGACAAAAAACAAGGAGGAAAGAAAAGAAAGCTGACAATGTCGCGATAGAAGGACAAGGTTGGAGGCTAACCTCTATAGCTTGCAGCTGATGCACACGGCAGTCTTCCGTTTGCAGCCAGCCGCCCCTCAGCTCAACCCAGGGCTTATCTTGGAGTATCTGCCGCGCCTGAGCCTGCTGGAGGTCCCGCGTGGGGTCGCCGATACTTGACCCTGGTAACATCTCGGACCAATTGTGCCTGGCGGATGTGAAGGTTGCGGCTAGGCATTACTTTTGCGGGGTTCCGCGCGCCTGTCATGTACACTTTGAGCCACTACGCATCCGGACGTCCAGAAAGTCCATGGTATACCCTCTGATGCATGCAGAAATGGCATGCCCATGTAGATGCGTTGTAGTTATCACAGTTGTAAATGACGCGGGCAGTGGAAGCTGCCTGCAGCCCGCGAGTTGAGGCTGTGCCTGCAAGGTGCGTCATCACGCCCAAGGCTGACAGCCACAACGTACTGTCAGCGGTGCAAAGCTAATCTGGTGTGAGATGAGATGGGTGTAACTGTCAAAGGCGGTAAATGAGCGTTAATGCGCGTACACGCGATGCGAATGTTGAGTTGATGTTTGCATTTGCCGCTGGCCCTGGGCGAGTGGTTGTACGGGGAAAGAGGAGTGAACTGCAGGCGGGAACTCGGGAAGTCGCCATTAGCGTAGCGCAACCGGCTGCGCACCGTTCAACTCACGTCTTCCAACTTCCTACACACCAACTAGTCTGATCCCTTGAATAAGAAAAGACATCGGGGAACAGCTCCGTGCGACGCCATCAAATGAGAATGCTACGCAGTCCTCCGAACAAACGCCTCCACTATGGATTATTCCGTGAATTCGCTTAAGAACGCCACTTCGAACTGATATCGCAGTTCGCTCTAAGTCAGGTGTTGGTGTTAGCGAACAACAAGCGGAAAAGACAAGAGACGATTTACAGGTTGCACAGACCTTTGTGGTCGAGAAATTGCGGTCTGGTGCACGTTGAAGATACTACAGAGATGCATGACGAGCATGTCCGAGTACTCAAAGCTTGCACACGGAGCGAGATGTGCCTTAGCCTAGAAGATTTCGTCGTCAGAAGGCCCATCCACTGGCCTGTGTAGCCGCCGAGCCATTCTGGAAGAACTTAGGACATATTCCAGAAACAGACGATCGCAAACACTCACCGTCATCTTCTTCACAAGCACCGTCTGGGTCACAGTGCCATGCTTCCCACCCGAAAGGAACAAATCGCGCTTCCGCTTCTGCTCCGTGGGATGAACCATTGGCGCGGAGATACGTTCCGATGCTGAGAGATTGCATGTCCACTGCCATTGCTTCTGGGAGAGGGGTATAGGCAGAATGCAGCGGTGATCACCTACTGCTATCGCTGTAGTAAGTAAATTGGCGGTGCGACCTTCGAGAGAGTCCATACCCTCCATTCTGACGATGGTGATCACTTTGTTCTTCCTTCGTCATCAATATAGAGCTCTGATCATTCACGTTCGGCTTATTTATCACCGTTGTCTTCTTAGTGTCGTAATTGATATGTCGTAGCAATGTTTATAGAGCAGTGAGTGACATTACAAGGTTCGTTTTCTACCGTCCACGGCGTGTGTCAACACACAAGTATACGTAGTAATACTCCACTTAGATCTCTGAGTCGATGTGCAGACTGTCCAAGCACACCAGGCTTCTGAGAAAGTGCGCGCTCACCATTTATGCTGGCAGGGCCGTTGATATGTTCTTCACTTTCTACTGCCGTTCCGATAGCTCTGTGCAAATAAGTCACCCTCGTCATCAGACTCACCTTCTTCCGTGTGCTCGTCCTCCTCCTTGACTCGTCCCAGAGTACAGCTGGAACCCTCCGACCATCCTAATGTGTGACTAGACGTCTCACTTCCTTCCCCTTGACTCTCTTCACCTCCTTCATACCCACTGTCAAACTGACGTTCGGTATCATCTACCTCAGTGTTCTCCTCCTTTTCGGCGGATGATATGTCATGCCGATCCTGTGCTTCCTTCTCATCAGCTGCCGGTGTAGAGCTGGATCTGTCTGATCGGACTGCAGTTTGGCTTGATGGTGAACTGTGCCTACCACTGTGGCGATTTAGAGAATTGACGTCGTCGTACTTGCGTTCGACTGACTCCATCTCGTTGTAATATGTCCCTCGAAGCTTTGTATCGTGCGTTTCACCGAAGAACTCGTTTTGGTGCTCTGTAGGTTCTATGGTGTAGCTGAAGTCTTGGCGCAAGACTGGAATGTGTTCTGCTCTTGATGTTTGGAATGCTTTCGTCCAGGGGGTCTGGGCGGCGACAAGAGCGGATGGATCAAGTATCTTGCTTTTGGCTTACTAGACAATACTTGTTGTCACAGTCGAGTGTGAAGATGATGAGGTTGTAAAGGTTTTGGGTGAGTTCGAGGTAGTGCTGTGCTGGCCACGGAATGCTGCGATAATAGGTTCGAAGGGATTTCGGGATGAATCGCGATTAGCTTTCTGGACTGATTTTTTGAGCATGAGGAGCTTGTTTGTGGTTTGCGCTGGCAACCAATAGGCGTTTGTTTGGTGGTGGAAGATGATTGAATGTGCGCAATGTATACGGACGTAGCACCACAAGACCAGACAGTGTCTGAGACTTGGGATTCGAAACGCGAGACTGGAGGTGCCAGAAAAGTTACCACAGGGACGACTGGCTTGTGGCAGGCAGGTGTTCATAGCGACGTTGTTTTTTGACCTTTCGATGTCGAGCGTGCCAGAAGACTTTTGGAAAGCGGCATAGTATTATCTCGTGCGATATAGGTTCCAGATTAAAGCGAGAGGTATCTTGAGGTGAAATACTGTTGTGTAGAAGTGTGTTGGGTTCGGAGGATGTTCCTACACAAGCAGTACACTAGTGGGTGCGGCAAGCACCAATAACAATACATGAAATGGCACCTTCTCATCAATTACTAGGTATTTCGGATATCGCGACTAGCTACTTTATCTCGGCATAGGAAGCGAACACAAAGTCTGGATACCCTGACGAGAAATAGAACAATACCCTAGATAGTGTACAAATACCTCGGGTTATCCTCGCCCATCTCCGCAATCTCCTCCTCAGTCTTCCCCTCGATCCTCCAATCCTCTTTACCAGAAAGCTTGCGTTGGTTCTTCATCCGGAAGTAGAGATGCAGCGCAACATAGATGGCGATACCAAGCGCCAGCAGTCCGATGGTCGCACCGTAGCCAGCAGTAAACTGAGGAGCATCCTCAGCGGCGTACAAGAAAGGCGCCACAACACCTGAGCAGTTACCGATGGTGATTTGCATACCGCTGGCAAAGGCTCGCTTTCCATATCGCGGGTTGTTCACGCCAATCCAGGAGAAGGCGATACCGGTGGCCACCCATAAACCGAGTGCGACGATGAAGCAGCCGGCGAAGCTGAGACCAAGCCCCTACGCCTCCGTTAGTACAATAAGTTCAGACTCGAAGCATTCGGGTACTTACTTTGTTAGCGATGAGGAAGATGTATCCAATCATGCTGACAGCAAGCCCAGCGATGCAGAACAAGCCTCGATTTTGAGTCTTGTCACTGTAGTAGGCCCCCGCGACGTAGGTGATGAACCCGGCAATATATACAGGAATAGTCAAAGCCTGAACCACCTGGCGATTCCACCCGCCTCCAAGGCCATTAATAATAGTGGGTAGGAACACGGAGAAGCTGTAAAGCATGCCAAGCCCAACAAATTGAGCGACGGCGTAGGCGTATACCTTCCAGTCTTTTACACCCTTCATAACGTCTTCTTTCAGTAACTCTTGACCGGCTGTCGTCTGGCCAATCTCCCTCATGCGAAGCAAGACTAGGTTTCGTCGGTCTTCTTCGGTCAAAAAACTCGCGGTCTCTGGGCTGTTCGGAAGGACAAAAGGTACAGCAATGGCGGTTAGGACGGTTGGGATACCATTAATGACAATGATCCAGCGCCTAAAAGCGACGTGTGCGAAGTCAGTGTGTGTCTCACATGCAGTTCGTACAGGGACATTTCTTACCATCCATTCCAACCACCTACGCCATCCATCTCACCGATAGCATACGCAACGACACCCTACGTCCGTTAGCCTCATTCATTGGATGCGAACAGGCTGCACTCACTCCTAGTCCACCTGCTAGTGCAGATGTGCCATAAAACCACGCTTGCCTCAGACTGACGTTGCGCCGATTGTAGAACATACTCAAGTAGAGAATGACACCCGGAAACAGACCTGCTTCGAACATGCCTAGGAGGAGGCGACAAGCTACGAGCCCAGCAAAGTTGGTGACGAAGGCTGAGAACGTGGCTACTAAGCCCCACAGAAACATCAGACCGGCTAGGTACCGCGCCGGCTTCATTCGCTTCAAGATGAGGTTCGAAGGTGTCTCGAATATGACGTAGGTGACGAATAGAATAGATACTGCGATCTGGAATTGGTTGGTGTTTGGGTCCATACCAAGATCTGTCTCCATTTCGTAAAGACGAGCATTGCCAATGTTGACTACAGGATCATCAGTCGAGGTCTGAAGATGAGTAATACATACAGACCTCGGTCCATGAAGTTCATCAAGTAGATCTAGCAGATCATGGGTACGATGCGAATGTCCAGCTTTCTCAGTAGTCTTGCTTCAGTGGCTGCATCAATCTCGACCATTGATCCATTTTGTTCGACATCCTCTACCTTGAGAGGCGGGGTTGGCGATATGTCAGAGCCTTTCTCGTCCTTGAACTCTGGTCCATCGACCACGGAGTCTTGGGCGTGGTTGTTCATGCTGCAAATGCAATGAACGTCAACTTTATCGCTTGTAAGTTGAAGTGGAGAGTAGCTTCCGACAGAGAGGTAGAGTTGCGGCGATCGTCGTTGACGGTGCCAAAAGAACTGGAACCAGTCTTGGACTTTATAATCCGAACACCTGGGGAAGTCGCACCGGCCCCATGGGGATTATGGGGGTGCCATGATCTTAGCATCCTGAGACGCGCCGTTGACAATCGATCAGGCAGAAAGACCGAAGCGCATTTCATAATCTCATCGCTGAAGTGCCGATAACCGTTCTTCCGTCCTGGCATGCTTGGACGCTTTCCGCTGCGGTGCTTCCAAGCTTTCTTTGATCATGATGGTTGACCAAGATCTTCGACTTCTTGGGATCTAAACTGAGTTTGGCAAGGACGAGTGTGGATCGCTTCAATGCGACCAGGTCCCTGGTAGGAATAGATTCACGTCGTCTACGTTACACCATCACACCGTTGATGTGTGCTCAAACAGTAGTCGCAACCCTGGATACTGTACCGGTTAGTGCTATGCATCTATTGTACATAGCCTACACGTACTCAAACGAGATCCCTGACCTACAGCTTCTTCGTCACATCGAAGCTCTTTACGCCCAAAGAATTGTCTTACTTCATCACAGTATGAACTGAAGCTTTCCATAGAGTGTTAGGATCTGAATAACAGGTAGAGCGGCCTCGGAGATTCTCGTCGTCATGTGTACACATGCTGAGGACCCGCATCTCTTGGAGCCCGGGATATGAACAAGCTATGATTCGACCGGAGAGCGCTATCAACTTGGTGAAGAGTGCCTAGTCCGAGAGATCGCACACGAATGCTGCGTTCCTTTACTCCGCAGTTGTTGTTGTTGTCATGTCGAATTCCAAGTCGCCAAGTGCTTAGCTTACGTTCATGCCCTTGGCAGGCTCATGTGCTATGCACAGGAGTGATCCTTTGCGCGTTCGACGTTGCTCATGAAACGAGGCAGTAGCGAAATAGCGAGCATTCTCGCCGGGTTTGTGTCTGGCGATATACCAATTACTCTGTAGAGACTTCATGATAAGTTCTTGCGCGACGTGAGGCGCCTTGATGGCCCATCATTGTCGTTGCCCAGCCGGGTCCATCGGTGATAATGTACATCGCTCTCGCGTATCAACGCGTTGATTCGAGGTCAAGGGTTGAAACATTGCAGCCGTGCTGCGCCTCGTGCGGAAAGATGATGCTTGGTACGGTGCGCTTTCGCATTCTCATAACGAAGCACGCTTGGTGTGCAGAGCGGGCAAAAGGATGCAAAAGATGGCCAAGCGCCAAACAAGTGCCCAGCGTCTTGAATATGAGTAGTTATATGGCGCCGCTGACGATGATGATGGTGGCGGGCGATGAATTATATGGAGGCGGAAGCTGATGGTAAATGGGATGAGGGCAGGGACAGCGCGTCTTGGAAGGCGCGTCCGCTTAGTCACTGCACCCTAGGCTTCACAGCAGTAGAGCACACCACGATCTGGAAGCACGATGCTAAGCTATCAAGACTGCCAACTTAGACTCAAGGCACCGATTGACCGGTACAACTCCACGTGGAGATCCCTGCCTGCCATGCGTCCGTTGCACAGAACCCGTTGGAATGGCAACGACACAAGGGAAAAGAGGGGAAAAGGAACGTGGCACTCTCTATTGCTTCCGTACTGCCACCAGCGCTCGGACTAGTTCCTCCGTCACCTTCACACCAGTTTGAATATCCTCCTTGGACTCAAGTTGAGGCACATGGAAGAAGACATTGTCCCGCTTGCTGGTACGCTTCTGCATCTCGAGTAGGCTGATGTAGTAGTTGAAACCACACACATACGAGCCCACATCATCGCTGAGTCTTACCTCGATAGCTTTTCTTGATTTGCCTTTGCCTTTGACCTTGACATTCTCTGGCGCAGCTGCCGGGGTTGAGAGGCTGAGAGAATAGCAAGCTTCTTGCAATATCCCAGCTGCTGCATCGATGTCGAGAGTAGTTGTTAGAGACGATGATGCCTTCCCAAACAGTTTCTTGTTGTCTGCTCTGGTAAAGACGCGCCTTTCGATATCTGGAATATCGTGATAGCCGTCTCGCAGTGCACTCCGTTCGAGTTTGAATACTCCGGGTCCGCTGCCGACATCAAGACCCATATGCACAACCAGATCAGGCGCATGTTCCTGGATCAACACCGGGACCTGGGCTAGTATCTTGTGGTAAGCTGCTGGGATGGGTTCAGCTGGTACGATGATAGTGACGATTTCGCCATTGGGGCCAGTAACGGATGACGGTAGATGCCGTGCAATCTCCCAGGACGGATTCTTCGTAATATCAAGGAACGGCTGAGAGTGTGTTAGCTGAGCGACGTATCGGATCAAAGACGTCGACAAACACCAAAGCCAGTCACCAACACCTTGACTGGAGTCGACATTGCGGAACTGTGGAAGGTCTGAATTGGAGTTCACCCAATTTCTAGATGAGGATGTAGCTAGCAAACAGCTCCATGGTGTTGTTGTTGCTTGTTCTGACTCATCGTAGGCTTACAGGTTCCAGACCAAAACATGCACCGAATGTAAGACGGCGGAACCGGCGACCGGCGTTCTCAGGACCTGTGTCGATGCGATATGTGAAGCTTTGCAGCGCTTAGAGCGACGTGCATGACGCGCGTTGGGTCACGATAAGAACGAGCTCTGTACGAGGGTCGCGATGCACATGTGTATCTCTCGAAATGCGCGATACATTGTAGTCTACAGCTGCCGATCGGCTTTGTGGCGCAGGGTTTTGGCGTTTGGATGAGAGAATAAGGGAGTAAGTGATAGGTCGGGGGATGACGTGGGGAACCCATGTCGGCCATGCAGGTCCGGTAGCGGTGCACTTTGATTTCGAGGAACGCAGCAAAAAGTGTACTGCGTGGCCTGACTCACACCCACAATCTTCCTAGCATGATGTGCTGAACTTGATACTCACTTACAACCCATTGCACCTTCTGGTACACTCAGTCCCTGTAATTTAGCATCTGGCGGCCGCACCTGCTCTTTGTGCGAAGTCTGACTCGCACCGCGACAGCCCACCATGGCAGGCGTCAATGGAGCGCAAGGTGAGCCCACCAAGGTCACCATCCTGGGCAAAGACTCGATAGTCGTCGATTACGGCATCTGGCAGAACTACATCGCCCAGGATCTGCTTACCAACATTCCCTCGTCGACGTACGTCCTCATCACCGACACCAACATCGGCCCTCTCTATACGCCCGTCTTCGAGCGCGCCTTCGCGTCGGCCGCGTCCTCACTCTCCTCGTCGCCACGTCTGCTCACGTACCAAATATCCCCCGGCGAGACTTCCAAGTCGCGGAATACAAAGGCAGCAGTAGAAGACTGGCTGCTGTCGCAAGGATGTGTGCGCGACACTGTCATAATAGCCCTCGGCGGAGGCGTCATTGGGGATATGATTGGCTATGTCGCGGCAACGTACATGCGCGGTATCAAGTTTGTCAATGTACCCACGACATTGCTGGCCATGGTCGATTCGAGCATTGGCGGCAAGACAGCCATTGACGTGCCTGCGGGCAAGAACTTGGTCGGCGCCTTCTGGCAGCCGGAGAGGATTTACATCGATCTGCAGTTCCTCGAGTCGCTGCCCAAGAGGGAGGTCATCAATGGCATGGCAGAGGTGGTCAAGACGGCGGCAATCTGGAATGAGGAGGAATTCACAACACTCGAGGGCAACGCCGATGCCATTCTGACTGCCATCGACCAGAAGCCCGTCAATGGCCGCAGGAACTTTGACAACATTGCCACGATACTGAAGCGCATAGTGCTTGGATCTGTACGCGTCAAGGCTGAAGTCGTCTCCGCCGACGAACGCGAAGGTGGACTGCGCAATCTGCTAAACTTCGGACACTCGATCGGTCACGCCTACGAAGCCATCCTTACACCCCAGATCCTCCACGGAGAATGCGTTGCGATAGGAATGGTAAAGGAGGCTGAGTTGGCCAGATACCTGGGCGTACTAGACCCCTCTGCAGTCGCGCGCTTGACAAAGTGCATTGCGAGCTACGGACTGCCTACATCGCTCTCAGACAAGACCGTGCGGAAACGGTCGGCCAACAAGCATTGCCCCGTAGACGAGCTCATCAAAATCATGGCTGTAGACAAAAAGAACGCAGGCAAGACCAAGAAGATTGTGCTTTTGTCGGGAATTGGCAGGACATACGAGAAGAAGGCTAGCTCGGTTGAGGATCGCGACATCAAGATTGCTCTATCACCGAGCATCTCCGTACATCCTGGCATTCCCTCCGACCTAAATGTGACATGTAGGCCTCCCGGGTCCAAGAGTATCTCAAATCGCGTACTGGTACTTGCCGCGCTCGGAACTGGCTCATGTCGCATCACCAATCTACTGCACTCGGATGACACACAAGTCATGCTGGACGCATTGGCAAAGATGCAGGGTGCCAGCTTCGCATGGGAGAACGATGGCAAGGAGCTAGTAGTTACAGGCAACGGCGGCAACCTCAAGGCCTCAAGTAACGAGCTTTACCTTGGCAATGCTGGTACTGCCGCACGTTTTCTGACTTCCGTAACTGCGCTCTGCCAGCCTGTCGAAGGCGTCATATCCACAGTTGTCACTGGTAACGCGCGCATGAAGGAGCGACCCATTGGTCCGCTCGTCAAGTCTCTCCGCACCATGGGCGTGGAGATTGACTACCAAGAGAACGAAGGTAGTCTTCCGCTACGTATCTCAGCATGTGGTGGCTTCGGTGCCGATTCCTTCACAGGAGAGATTGAACTCACTGCCAACGTATCGTCACAATACGTATCATCCATCCTCTTGAGCGCACCATACTCCAAGAAGCCAGTAACGCTGCGCTTAGTCGGCGGCAAAGTCATCTCTCAACCGTACATTGACATGACCATTGCCATGATGGCTTCCTTTGGTGTGCAGGTCGAGAGATCTGAGAATGATCCCAACACCTACCACATTCCCAACAAACCATACACCAACCCCTCTGAATATGAGGTGGAAAGCGATGCTAGCTCCGCTACCTACCCTCTTGCTATCGCAGCTATCACAGGTACGACATGCACGGTGCCAAACATCGGCTCTGGCTCTCTGCAAGGTGATGCGCGATTCGCTGTCGAGGTCCTCAAGCCTATGGGTTGCAAGGTGGAACAGTCCAAGACTTCCACAACCGTCACGGGTCCGCCTCGTGGTGAGTTGAAGGCCGTCAAGGAAATCGACATGGAACCGATGACGGATGCTTTCCTGACAGCATCAGTACTAGCAGCTGTGGCATCATCAAATGGCAGCACGACCACCACTCGCATCTATGGCATTGCTAACCAACGTGTCAAAGAGTGCAACCGAATTCAAGCCATGGAAGATGAGCTCGCCAAATTCGGTGTCACCTGCAGGCAGTTTGATGATGGTATTGAAGTTGATGGAAAGGCTTATGAGCTCGAAGCTCCCAAAGCTGGTATCCACTGCTATGATGATCATCGTGTCGCCATGAGTTTCGCTGTACTATCATTGGTAGCACCAGCACCTGTTCTCATCCTTGAGAAGGAATGTACTGGCAAGACATGGCCTGGATACTGGGACTCTTTGCATCAGATCTTCAAGACCGAGCTCTCGGGTGTAGAGCTGCCGCCGCGACCAAACGCACACAAGGCTGCATCAAGAACTGAGCAAAAGTCCATCTTCATCATTGGCATGCGCGGCGCCGGAAAGACAACCGCTGGTGGTTGGGCAGCTCGCGCGCTCAACCGCCCGTTCATTGATCTGGATACCGCACTCGAGGAACACGTTGGCATGACCATACCTGAACTGATCAAGGCACAGGGTTGGGAAGGCTTCCGAAGCGAGGAACTGAAGATGCTGGCGCAAACTGTCAAAGAGAAGCCCAATGGACACGTCTTTGCCTGTGGCGGTGGAATTGTCGAGACGCCAGAGGCTCGAAAAATCCTCGTAGACTATCAGAAGAGCGGCGGCATCGTGCTACTCGTCACACGAGACATCAATGCAGTAGTCGCCTTCCTACAGATCGACAAGACACGTCCAGCATATGTGGATGATATCATGGGCGTGTGGCTGCGAAGGAAGGATTGGTACACCGAGTGTAGCAACTACCGCTTCCACAGTCAGGTCGCGGGATCTCGCGGGCTTGCTCAGACACAAGGAGAGATTGCCCGTTTCCTGAACACCATTACCGGCAAGGCTACCACCTTGAAGGCGCTCAGGAAGAAGAAGCACTCTTTCTTCGTCTGCTTATCTGCGCCACGGCTTGAGTCTTACATCAAGACGCTGCCAGAAATAGTTGTCGGATCCGATGCTGTGGAGCTTAGGGTCGACTTGTTAGAGGACCCTGAAGGTCAAGAAGGCCTGCCCACACCAGAGTTCGTTATTGAACAATTGACGATACTAAGGACTGTCACATCCATACCCGTCATATTCACATTGCGAACAAAAGCTCAAGGTGGCAGATTCCCGGACCAGGCATACGATGAAGCTCTTGTACTGTACCGGACAGCATTACGGCTTGGCTGTGAGTTTGTGGATCTGGAGATGACTATGCCCGAAGATATCCTGCGCGAGGTGTCCGAGACCCGCGGATTCTCGGAAATCATCGCTAGTCACCACGACCCTAAAGGCGAACTCAACTGGACGAATGGCTCGTGGATGCAGTACTACAACCGTGCGCTGCAGTATGGTACTGTCATCAAACTTGTTGGCGTCGCTAGCTCCCTTCAGGACAACTTTGCGCTTGCAGATTTCAAAAGTTGGGCAAACACTGCGCATCCCGTTCCTCTAATCGCCATCAATATGGGTGAGCATGGAAAGCTGAGCAGAATACTCAACGGCTTTATGACGCCTGTCTCGCATCCACTCCTACCCTCTGCTGCCGCCCCAGGTCAGCTATCAGCAGCCGACATTCGCCGCGGTTTATCTTTGATGGCGGAAATTCCGACAAAGAAGTTCTTCATCTTCGGTTCACCGATTGCGCAAAGTCCCAGCCCACGTCTACACAACAGACTGTTCCGCGAGACCGGACTCCCACACATCTACGGTCGTCACGAGACTACTGATGCAAGCTCCATTCGAGACGTCATCCGCTCGCCAGATTTTGGTGGTGGAAGTGTCACGATTCCTTTGAAGCAGGATATCGTACCCCATCTCGATGGCCTGGGTCCAGAAGTCGAAGCAATCGGTGCCCTCAATACCATCGTCCCTGAGATCTCAGTCGACGAAACCACTGGCGAAGAGGTCACGCGCCTCATCGGTCGCAACACCGACTATCTAGGCATGATACTCATCCTGCGTAACGCAGGTGCCCTGGGCGTCGGTTCCGCCCTTGTTATCGGAGGCGGTGGCACAAGTCGCGCTGCCATCTACGCACTCAAGGAAATGGGCTACGGACCAATCTACCTCCTCGGCCGCAACCCCTCGAAGATGGAGACTTTGAAGAACGCTTTCCCCGCTGAATACAAATTACATGTGATCAGCTCACCGGAAGAAGTCGAATCCATGGAAAGCACGCCACAAGTCGCCATCGGAACTATTCCTGCTGACCAACCCATTGACGCTGCTATCCGCGAAACACTCTGCACGTTGTTTGAGAAGGGTAAGGCGAGTGTCAAGGATGTTGAACCGGGTCCAGAGAGGATTCTGCTAGAGATGGCATACAAACCGCCTGTCACAGCATTGATCCAGCTTGCGATGGATAATGGGTGGAAGACAGTGAATGGGTTGGAGGTGCTTGTTGGACAGGGCGTGCATCAGTTTGAGTACTGGACTGGTGTCAAGCCGCTTTATGGAGTTGCTAGGGTGAGTTTTAATGCGTAATGCTTGATGTGAACGAACGCTGACTGTGAGTAGGATGCTGTAATCAACCAGACGGACTAATTGGTTGATATGTACATACACCTGGGTTGATGCAATGGGATTTGGGGTTTCACCCGGCTTAGCATGAAATGCAACAAAAGACATGTGTCATTACCAATATGTCCATCCATGCATACTGTTTTGCTGGATAGACATTGCTACAAATGTGCTTTTCACAACATGTATCTATGACTATGCAATCTTGTATATTGACGTGGCCCCTTCACTTACTGGGATGCCTAACACTATGGTCTATATACTATACAGCAGGCAGCATTTCATTACGTGTCATCCTCTGGATGAAGGGTAAAAGAGCGAAAGACGATATCGGGCTGATGCACAGATGCCTCTTTTCACGTGGCGCTTTAGACCTTATCCGTACTAGTGCCTGACATCATCCCGGGGTCCTGTTGGCTGAACAGCAAGCACTTCCGACTTTATCTCCGCCTGCACGACCATCATCAAACTCATATACTCCCCGCGCACTCCCCTTAACCAACTTTAGGACTAGTTCAGGGACATTTGGATGCCAAGTATATCTTTTGCAGGAGCCAAAAAACGCAAGACGCGTCATTCCGGTTTTACCTTCACGAAGGCACGTCAAGAACCCGGAGCCTCTATGCTTGGCCCAGCCGAGAACGGACTTTTGCGCCTTGTCGATGAATTACTCCTCAACATTATCGATCACATCGACAACCAGGACGCTCTTTGTAGCCTTTCCGCGACATGCACGCGGTTCCAAGGTCTCGTTGAACCCTACATCTGGCGGAAATTAGAAGTTTTGACAGGGGATCATGCACGCAACATTGCCACAGCACTTGACAAAAGGGATGACCGGACGGACTATATCCAAGATCTGGCTATTCGATACAACGATACATACCGCGATGGCGTAGAGGAATTAAACCACTTTTTGAGCCTGATGAGTAAACTGCGCCATCTGCACATTGAGAGTCCTTGCCCGAACAACGTGGAATGGCAACACGGCGGTATCTACTTTGATGGGTACTCAAGGATTGATTATACAAACTTGCTTGCAGCGTCAGTGTATCCGCGTTCCGGAATGCCGATAACACTGCCGATGCTACAGTCATGTAAGTTGAAGCTTCGATACGAAGGAGCCTGGCTAACAAGACGTAGTGACCCTACACGCACACGGTTCAGGAGACAACAAATATAAACTAGGCCGCGCCGTTGCTATGTTTAAACATCCAAGCTTACAGAACATCACGTTGTCGTGTTTGGACTTTGACGGAGAACTTGGAATATCCGCATCGGAAACCAAGACGACGCCTCTCCGGTCTCTAACGCTTATCGAATGTAACGTCAACGTAAAGTTCCTTGATGAAGTTTTGAGCCTACCCAAAGCTCTCAAGGAGCTGTCAATTGGGGAGCGACTCCACGTGTTCCAGGAATGCCAACCATCTATGGACCCCGAACGCCGCACCTCTTCCCGGCAATTTCTCCTTGCACTACAGAAGCAAGCGCACTCGCTGCAGCGTCTGACACACTGCGGTGGCCATGTCGGCCATCTGACTCCGCGCGACACCGACCCTGAAGGTGCCGAAAAACTACGCTCTCTCGTTGATCTAGAGTACCTCGAATTGGGTTTTGAATCACATCTGTACTACTACCTACGGCAAAGCGGCTTTCCACCAGCCCTCAGATCTCTTAAGATGCTCGACTCTGCCATCTCAATCAACTCAGGTCACGATCTGCGCTCGTTATCCGACATCGCCTTCCGCTCTCTCACATCACTTGTAGATGTCTGTCTCCCAAGGACACTAGCAGAAGACTTCACACTACACCTCAAGTTCTCAGATCACTCATTCTTCCGCCTCTTCGAGATTGTCGACGCAACAGAACAAGCTCACCTCCTGAGCGCACTCTTCTTTGACCGCGCAGCGACCTACAAGATTGCTTCGATGCTCAAATCCTACAGTACCAACTCCCACTTCCTTGTTTCGAGAGAGACTTTTCCATCGGGAAAGTCTTTTATCCCGCCATACATGCACGGTGAAGAACTTCCTGTCGAAGAGCTGATGTACACCAGCGATGACTTTTGGCGCTTCAACGGCATCAACTACCGTATCATGGATGACGAGAACTGGAGAGATGAGCTCAAAAAGGGGAAGAAGCTTGCTATCTGCAAGAGGTGTAAGACTAGGGGACTGGGTGTGGATGCTTGTCGCAGCTTGGGTGACGGAAGTGCCTGCATGCCTTGTAAGACGACTGATTGGGGGGTGTGTGAATGGGAGAGAGATGAGAGGGGTGAGCTAGTTGGCGCTGAAGACGTGGAAGTGAGCTCGGTGTAGAATGACTTGTTCGGCTTCTGATGCTTGGGTTAGACATTCACGCATACATGGCGTTTTTCAAGAATCGTGAAAGTTGTAAGTGCATGCAGCTGCTACCTAAAACCGCGAGGCTACACCACAATGAAATCAAAAGTGGGTCTATGTCACAAGGTGAGAATCGCACCGTTTGATCGTACCTTCCACGCGTGTCCGTGCCCGCTCTAGTGTGACCTACACTTCCTGCTGAGATTCGTGACTTATTTCCCCATCACCTTACTTCAACTGTATTTCTCCAGCCAGATACTGTGCTATCCTACGAGCGCATGCAAACAGACATGGAAGTCAGCGTTATCATGGCTGATAGGCCGATCACAACAACAGCGTCTCGTCTTATGGCGCTGCCTGGTGGTGAGTGACCTGTCTTGTTTACCGTCATTGCATCTTACGCTAATATCCTGTGCAGAGTTGCGCAATCGCATATACAAAGCCATCACCGACGATGAAGGGCCTAAAGAGACCCGCCTATGGCGACCGCGCCCTTGCGGGCAGTTCCCGAAGGTCCGCAATCCTGGTCTCCGATACCTCGGCCTCGGTCAAACGAATTGCATGTTCCGTAGCGAGTTTATGCCGCTCTACGTGACAGCTCGTCGAACGCTCATTGCCATAGAAGACGTTCCCTACTACCTCGAGGCCTTTCCTCTCACTGATCCGGCTCTTACTGCTTCCATAATCACCGTACTACGAGATTTGCTTTCCGTCTTCCGGGGACAGACATCGACTTCCAAAATCGATGTTCTTCCCCTTCTACGTGCGGATTGGAGTATGTTTACCATGCCCATTTTCGTGTATAAAGCTCTATGGCTGGCAAGGGAAGTAACGGGCGAGCTTCCTCTCTTGCTCTTGGAAAACTCGTTTTATGACCTCGCTCTCTACGGCGGATTGTGGGAAGAAACTATCACTGCGATCTACTTCATTCGTCGATGCTTGGAGAACGACTTTCATTCAAGCTCTTCCGATTCTGACTCTCATTATTACTCTAGCGATGATGACTTTCATTATTGCCCTAGAGATGATGAACAATATATCGAACTACGGCTAAGTGTCAAAATCGATGCTGAAGCTAGCGAGTTCGAAAAGCTCCGGATTTTCCATAATTTCGTTGAACGTGTAACGGCTCGTGGATGTCGGCGCATTGAGATTAGGTGCTTTAGTGGAAGACTGAGTATGTATTGTGAGAGGAGCAAAGTCTTTGCCCTAGGTTTGGGAGCCGTCAAAAAAGCTTGTAAGGTCTGGCCTGCGAAGAGCCGTCGTTATATCTTGGCTGCTAAGGAAGAGACAAACAAAGCTGCAAGAAACGTGAGCGTATAGATCTTTCATATCGTACAACATCAAGCTCTGGTAGAACAACGGCAAATCGATAGCTTGGACTCCAATAGTAAACTAGTAATACATCGGTAACACAGTACATATGATTAATGTTTAACTGCGGATGTAAATTGCTTCCTTGCAACACCGCCGTATAAGAAAATCCTGACATGCGCCCTAGGAGAAGACCTTAATGCTGTCCACACCTTCAGAAGCATACCGCAGTTAAAGTGATAAAATGCCAACCGTTCATCCCTAATTGTCTTTGAGAAAGATAATCATACACCATCATCCCCATCACTCCTGCAGCTCATTCAACCAAGTAGCCGTCCCTCGCGTTCAACAGATCCCTCAGTCTGTTTCCACCAGGGGTGAACTCTAGTCCCCTCCTTGCATCCTCCGCAATCTTCCTGTCGATGGCGGCATCTAGGCTGCTCACGATATCTTTGCTTGGTGTACGCGTTGCGTTACGATCGAGGACTGTCATACGGCGATTCACCGGGGTTTTAGGAGCGCCAGCCATGATGGGCTGCCTCAGGTCATTGACAGCAGCTTTGCGGGCGCCTAGTGCTGGAGTTTTGGGGATTGGAGTTTTTGGTGCTGGTGCTGGGGCGCGGGTCTTGGCTTTGGGTGTTGTTGGCGGCGGAGGCTTAGTGGAGAACGGCCTTGACTTTGCATCTTTAGTGGGAGAGAGGGGTTCAGTGGATGCCGGAGTCTCCATGAGGAGAATGAGGTTCTTGTCAGGGGAGCCGTCTGGTGTGGTCGAGTCAATTGGCTGGGCTCTCAGTGGGGTTCTCGCAGGAGTCTTGTTGACTGGTCTAGTTGGGACTTTGGCACGATCTGCCTCAGCCTTCTTCCGGTTTTCGTTATGCCATCCCGCGAGGCGGTCGGCGATGTCTCCTGCACTGGCAAACTTCTGTTCGTACGGTCGCGGGTCCGCTGATGGGTTGTATGGTTCTATAGCGGATGGGCGAAGAGGCTTCCGGGTGGGGACAGGGCGAGGATTGATGGGTGCAGATGGTACATTTGGTAAACGTTCTTTCAGCGTTGCAACGGCCTTACCGGGACCCGAAGTTCCAGGAAGAGGCTTTCGTGGAATTTTTGGTACGGGTGGTATGGGGCTTTTTGTATTAGTAGACGTGAGAGATGGTATCCGGCTGTGAGGTGAGCTATGGCTTGTAGCTTCAACAGGTAATGTCGGTTTGACAGGCGTCGCCAGCGTCTTACGACGAGCCGTGCTAGCCACTGTACCAGACTTAGTTGGTCTTGATACTGCACTCCCTGCACGAGGACGAGCTCTTCCCGCAGCCACCGTTTTGTCTGCACCTTTACTCTGAGAGTCCTTTCGCTTGGCTGCAGCAACGCAATCATCCTTCGCCAGTGCCGGCGTTGCACCAACAGGTTTCCACCGGGGTATGCGTGGCGCACTTGATACTCTTCGTGTCGCTGTTGGTCTTTCAATACCCTTCTCGCCATCTGCTTGCACTGCCTGAAGCGAGGAGGTGCCAGAGTCGGCTCTACTGAGAGTCTCTGGTGTGCCCTCGGCGCCTGGGCTTCCGATGTCCTGTTGGTCCCTGACGAATAGGCTTTTTGGCATATCAGAAAGTTCGTTCAGGTGCAGAGGTCCGCAAAAGTCTGTGTCGACAACCCCTGCCGAACGGCACATAGTCGCTTCCAAATTTACCGTATCTTTCTGCGTCTTCAAAAGCACGCTTGGGTCAGTGCCCACCCGTCTCTGATGGCTTGCAGGCACGGGTAGGAAAGATTTTGGTAGGCTGTTGTCTATTCCATGCCCTCTGGCTTGGTATTCCTGTTGAGACGATTCTTTCTGGTGCGTTTCTGACCTCTGCTCTGAGTATGAAAGTGAGCGACGTGGTGGGGCTGGTGACCTGCGCATCGCGTTTATTGCACTCGAGGATCCCGGATCAGCTTGACGTAATGGAAAGGCAGATTGCAATTCTTGTGGCGTGGTTCCAGTATGATCAAGCCTGGCCACCTGATCTTCTGTGATTGAAGATGACGAGGCTTCCTCCGGAAGTCTAGGCGATAGGCGTTCAATCGACTTGCTTCGGTCTTCTTGTGGTTCAGTTGACGCAGGTTCGTGCCGAAACAAAGATCCTTTTCTGATGATATCAGCAGCAGGGTCATCGCTTGTGACGGTAGTGGTCCCATTGGGTGACATGCGCAGGAAAGAGGGCGACTCTCCTAGTTTGAGCTTCTCTCCAGCCCTACGCAAGGGTGTCGGTATGGGTGAGGCTATTTCGTTATCGTGGTGAGAAGACGTCCAGTCATGAGTGCTGGTATTGTCGCATATCAGGCTGGCCATGAGCTGTCCGATGTTCTCTGGGCTGGCTTTTGGGGTTGGTGCCTGCTCTGTGGATTCAGGATGTGGGGGTGGTGGGCTGGTGAAGGCAGTTGCGATCAGGTTTGGGTTTGGAACATGTACATCATCCACACTGGTTAGGCCTCCAATCGGTTTCCTGGATGTTTCTTTCGGGTTTGTTTGAACTTTGTTCGTCAACAGGGAAGATGTCTTGATTGGATTTGTAGGCGAGTCGTCCTCCTCGATCGATCGCTTGACCGGACTTCCAGGTCGGTTGCTACCAGGCGTATCACCCAGAACTTTCCTCCTTGGCGTCCCTACAGCTATCCTGGCAGGGCTCTGATTCACTGAGCTGTACGTCTTTTGTGGACTGGGCGTTCTTCGAGTGGGAGTTTGCGGATCCGGGTTTTGCTTGGGCGTCATCTTCGTTGGTGTACCAAACAAAGGTCTTGCTGGGCTCTGGTGGATCGTTTCCCTTCGCTTCAGCGGGTTGCGTGTCGTCCTTGTGGGCGTACCTGCTGCGTCTTCTTTCGTCGGACTCGCATTCTTTAACGGGCTAGGCGTCCGCGTCCTCGTGGGCGTCTCTTCTCCTTTGGGCGTCCCACTCTTACTCGTCGTCCCGCTCCTCTTGCTTGTGATTTTACTGGGTGGTAGTTCAATGGAAAAATAGAACGCACCCTGGCCAACTTCGAGCTTCATCGGCGGCTGATTTGTCTTCTTGGGTGTATGGCGGACTACGATTGGGCTATCGCGCGCCTTCTCAGAAGTCTTACGGCCCTCCATAGATGGGCGAGACGGTATCGCAGGCGACATAGAGACTGCCCGCAGAAAGCGTTGACGCAATGGAGTTTGATCAGGAGTCGAGGGACTGCCGTGCTTTTTAGGCGACGACAGCGGAGTGGTATTGGTGGCTGTATATGCGGCGTTCTTGTTTGGTACGGAGGCTGGCGTGGTGGTCGGCTTCGCACTAGAGGTCATAGCTGCTGCAGTCGGGATGATCCCGCTATCGATATCAGTGAACGCCTCCATCATGTGATTCCGTCTATGATGAGACGAACAGCGACTGTTAAAGAGATCAAGAGTGCTCAACGCAGGACTGTTGAAAATGCACCAATCGAGAAAACTACAGAGAGCTCTAGAGAACAGTTGCGACAAGTGTTCTGCAATCAGCTGTGTAACAAACAAACATCAGATCGTCCCGCATATGCATACATACTGCAGTGAAACATGCAAGAGGCACGTTTCTTTTTGAGGAGTTAGGTATCTTCGGAAATTAGCGTGAACCCAGTTCATCAAAAGAAACGTGCTTCGGGAACAGGTGGAGACTGCATGGCACGAGCTCCATACCAAAAAAAGATGCGTCGCGCCTCACTGGCAAACGAAGAGATGCACAGGCCTAATTTACTTGGAGGATGATCGATTTCTGCCCAAGAGTAAGCAGATTTCCGTCTGCATGGTAGCTAGGGATCATGCTGTTATCCAATGGATATTGATCCAAACCTTGTAGCAGCTATTCAATTCCTCTACGCATCTATAACTTCTCCTTCAAGCTCGACTTCAATCTCCTCTCGACCGCGTCGAGGTATTCGTTGGTAGTGACCCAAGAACCCCGGTCCTTCTTTCCGCACGCAAGGGCCAGATCCTTAGTCATGATCTTGTCGACATCCACAGTGTCCACGCAAGCCTTCTCAAGCTGCTCGGCGAAAACGACGAGCTCAGGTGTGTTGTCTAGCTCACCGCGCTTGGCCAGACCTTGTGTCCAGGCAAAGATGGAGGCGATGGGGTTGGTGGAGGTCTCGTTGCCCTTCTGGTGTTCGCGGAAGTGGCGGGTGACGGTGCCGTGCGCGGCTTCGGCTTCGAATGTCTTGCCGTCAGGGGTGATGAGAGTGGAGGTCATAAGGCCGAGGGAGCCGAAACCTTGAGCGACGATGTCGGACTGGACGTCTCCATCGTAGTCTAGAAATGTCAGCGGAGTTTCGTGAGCTATGAGACATGTACGCACTCTTCAAGGCCATAACGTAGCCACCCTCGCTCTTGATCATCTGGGCGACCATGTCGTCAATCAAGCGGTGCTCGTACCAGATGTTGGCGGCCTCAAAGTCCTTCTTGTACTGGCTTTCGTAGATTTCTTGGAAGACATCCTTGAACTTTCCGTCGTATGCCTTGAGAATGGTGTTCTTGGTGCTCATGTACAGAGGTAGCTTCTTGTCCAAGGCCATCTTGAAAGAGGCGTGTGCGAAACCGGCAATGGACTCGGTAGTGTTGTACTGGGTCTGCGCGACACCACCCTCGGCAGGGAAGTCGTAGACCTTGATGACCTCAGGCTTGCCGCCCTTGGGTGTGAAGACCATCTCAAGTGTGCCTTCGCCGGGGATAACGCGGTCCTTGGCGCGGTATTGGTCGCCGAAAGCGTGACGGCCGATGATGATGGGCTGCTTCCAGCCAGGGACAAGACGGGGGATGGTGGGGATGACAATGGGCGCGCGGAAAACGGTACCTCCTCTAAAATATGCTGTCAGCCATGCTTCTCCCATTGCCCCAATGTGCGACATACAGAATGTTTCGGATGGTGCCGTTTGGCGACAGCCACATCTTCTTGAGCTTGAACTCCTCGACGCGCTGTTCATCTGGGGTGATTGTCGCGCATTTTACACCAACAGAGTACTTCTTGATAGCCTCGGCAGCATCGAGCGTGACCTGGTCGTTGGTCTCGTCACGGTATGGCAGACCAAGATCGTAGTACTTGAGGTCGATGTCAAGGTATGGGTGGATGAACTTGTCTTTGATGACCTGCCAGATGATCCTGGTCATCTCATCACCGTCCAGCTCCACCACCGGATTCTTGACCTTGATCTTCTTGATTCCTGCCTGGGACGCCATCCTGTACTGTCCGATTTGGGTATACAGACTGGATGCTGCTGTTGGGGCGCTGTTTGCGGTGGTTCGTCGCGGGCTCGAAAACTGGGCCGATTTCGCAGCTGTCTGGGAAGCTAAGCAGCGCGTCGCAAAGCTGCAAGTCTGTCGTCGAGGGAGTCGTGCAACGGAGGTTGCAGCGCGAAAAGCGGCGGGCGCTGTAGTCGCAGGCCTCATGGCTAATAGATGGTGTGGTATAACCTCGGAAAGGCAGATCCAAGGGCGTCCAGAAGTCGTTTCGTTCGCTACCGGCCGCGGTTCCGATTGCGCAATGCGGCGAAGATACTCGGCTGATAGGACGACAGGCTTAGTCGTTTGAGTCGCTAGCGGGGTAAGGAAAGCCGAGGAGGTAGGGAAAAGCCTTTAAGCTGTCACAGAGCCTGCGAGATGAACATGGCCCGGAACTGTTACCAGCACCTCGCTCGGAGGAACGGCTAATACCCCACGGTCGCATCGTGTAGACGCGAATTGATTGCCTGGGACGGCGGCAGATGTTCCTCCGTTAGCTGTCATGCGCGCGCCCTCATCCTACGGCGCGGGGCAACCGTGGCATATGACGTTTGGCCGAGTCTGACGTACTGGCGTACCGAAGCAGGCACGCCTGCACAACATGACTGCTGATCTCCAATCGACGGCGAGTTTCTGTGGTTGAGCAATGTAAGTTTGGGTCTGACGCGCAGCGGTGCCTGCTGTAGTATATGTAAGTATCCTGCCCTGCGTTCGGATCCCCTCATAACAACATGCGGGCACACGGCTGCCGGATCCGCTTCGTCGTGATGCGCGTAGAGGTCGTGTCATTGGCTAGCAGCATGGATTTACTTTTGCCTACAACATGTGGCGTGCATCGAGCTGTCTGACTGGATCAAGCATTTTCAAAAGCGAAAAAGAGACGGAATTAAATGGGACTGACGATCGAGAAAGTATTGAGTTTGGAAAGCAAAGGACCCAAATTCAGCCAGTAAGGGGCGCGCATGCCTGATGTCTCATCAAGGCATTCGCGACCCAGCATCCAAATCTAACCCGGGCAGTCACACCCGACCGACAGCCACAAGTCCAGGTACCTTCTGTCCTTCTTTTCCACGCCGAATCCTCACCTCATAAGTTCGCGAAGATCTTATGAGTACGAACCAAGCTGTGGTTTTCGTCGCGTCTTACTCTACCTGATGGTTGTTCCTCAACGCCCTGGTCCGGGACCGACGCTGGAGCGGATCGTGGTTGGGATACGTGTGCGACGATACAGACCATTCTGGTTCCGGTGCACGCAAAGACTTGGATTTTGCTGATGTAAATGTTACCGAGTTTCGCTTTGTGCTGAATCAGCATGTATCCGTACCTATAGGTTCGCGTGCAAAGTCAGTGTATGTCTCACATGCAGTTCGTACCAATGTATTTCTTACCCTTGCATGTTCGGGGTACCTAAGATGGCATGAAAGTCATCCGTACCGGCTTTCAATGTAAGCCCTGGCCAAGGTCCGCCCTTCCACCTGTTGTTGATGAATACCCTACGGCACACTGATAGTGTTTTTTGATTTTCGATGGAGACAGAGATCAGATATCGAAGATTTTTGGCATCATGGCCGTCCCTCTTTGTCATCTCTTGCCATGTAAGCCAGCCCACGTCAGAGAATTGATGGAGTATGGGCATTTGAGCTGCTGGAATCGACGGATTTCGACGTAGAGCGCTCGTCGCAGGGCCCTCGCGACTTAACCCAATGATAACACCCTCCTCTGTGTTGAACGACATCGTATAATCAGCATCGGTTGCCCGATAAGTTTGGCCGTTAACTTGGTATGTCTGGTGGTCGGCCATAGACGAGCCGTAAGGGTCGACGTGGGCCATACCGAGGATTCGATTTTTGCCTCCCTTGCGCAGGTACGTATACGAGGAAAGTCCAAGCCCGTCTAATGCACCGTCAAGGCCCCAATCATCGCGTAATTGGCTATCATCATCGTTGCCCATCTTGTCTTCTGGGTGTTCGTGCCAATACCACGTTGTGAGATCTTCCCAGGTCTGGAATGGAGATTCTGCACTTATCTGTGGGGGTAGAAAACAGAGTCCAACTTGGTCATTATTGTGGTGCATTGACCATTCAATTAAACACCCTTTTTGTCTGCAACTATCCCAGACTTCATCTGTCGCTGGTCTGGGCCACTTTGCAGCGGCGACAAAAACTTCATCTGGCTTCGATGCGACAACGAATGAATCTGCATCTGGCGCCCCCAGTATCTCAAGATTGACGGAGGCTGCGCCTTCACTTGAGCATCTAGAAGTCGCAGTCAGTTATTCTATCATGTACTCAAGCATACATCGTGGTGACGGGATATATCGATAGCGGTGAAATGCGTAGTGGAGAATGCTTACTTTTGACAAATTTCGCCGGCGACGGTAACGACGAGGGCAGCCGGCCCAAGGAACACTATGATCTGCATATTTTCGAATGATACTCGCTGGAAGTATTTCCAGAGAAGAACCAACAGTTGAGAAGTGAGAGAGACTTAGCTGTGCGTCGCTTAAGGCAAGCGGTACAATACCACTTTCACTTTCACTGGATAAAGAACGACTATGTTTTTGAGGTAAGAAGTACCAGATCGTAGATGGGTCTCTCACCTTCTCCCCTCTCGGTTATGACAAATGATACCACAAGCGAAATCCATATACACAATCCGTGAAAGAGGTCTCAATTATGTCGCTTCTCAACAGTACGAAAGATTTCACTCTACTGGATAAAACCTTGAACGTTCGAACTTATCACAAAGATGCATCATGCCGCTCTCTTCTTAGCCTTTTGAGGTGAAATACTATGTATGCCTTTAAATTGTAGCATAGATGGAGAACAGCTTAGGGAAACAAACTTCTCCGCCGACAAGGGAAGGCCATACTTCTCATGAGATCTTCTCGGCTATTCAAGAAGTTATGGCTTTCCGCACCGTTATAGCTTCGCGAGTATTTTGTGTGTACGAACCAGATTATGGTTTTCGTCACTTCTTACTCCTCTGACTGATACCTGCTCCGCAACGCCCTCGTTTGGGATCAATTCTGGACCACCTCCTAAACCAGAGCCTGGTTGCGATACATGTGCAACAATGCATGGATTGCGGTGCATTGTTTCGCATCTGAAGACCTGTATTTTGCTGACGTACAAATTGCCCAGCTGCGCTTTGTGCTGAATTAGCATATACGCGAAGCCTTGCCTAAAGGTGGGCGTACGAAGTCAGTACATGTTTCGCATACAGTTCGTACAAGGGTATCTCACATGTTTGGAGTGCCTGGTCATGAGTCAGCCAGCGGATCTTCGCGATGATAGAAGATCAAGAACAAGACAGTCTTGAATGACCCAGAAGGGTGTCGCTGGACCACATGGAGCTTGACAGCAACCTTATTGTGCCACAAGGTAGCCAAGCTACAGTAACAGATGCTGGTAGACATGTACCAACCACCCAGTACCCTCCACAAAGTTTGATGACAATCAACCTTGCTCAGAAAAACGTGGTTCGTAGTCGTCTTACAACCCCTCCTGAAATGATCGAGACTTACCGATGATTGCATGCATCTCTGGCGACCCATCCTCGAATATATGACCTGGCCAATCGTCTACTCCCCATCCCCTGTTTTCCGATGCTCTCAGTACAACTGAGACCGTCTCCCTGTTGACGACCAAAACTGAGATGAGATATCGAATGTTTTTAAGATCGCCATTCTTCTCTTTGACCATATCATCCCAACTCAGCCACACCACGTCAGAAAACTGGGTAAGTTCCGGCATCTGGTCATCTGAAACTGGTGGCTCCTGTTGTTTTCCCGTTGCTTTGGGGCTCTCTCGGTTCAGACCAATGATGACACCGTCTTTCGGATTAAGTGAAAAGGAAAAGCTAGCAGCTGTGGCCCTGTAGGTCTTGTCGTTGACCTTGTATTTCTGGTCAGCGACAGGAATATCGTGGTAGGGGTTATCCGGCGGTAGTTTGTGGTCAATACTGTGGACCCGGTTCTCACCTCCCTCGTATTCATCTGCATACGGATTAACTCCAAGTTCTTCGAGTGCATGGCCGATGCCTCAAGCCCGGTTGAAGTCGAAATATTCCTCCCTTATGCTGGCCTGGGGCCATCGAAACCAAAACCACTTCGCAAGGTCACTCAGACTTTGGTACGGCGACGCTGCTGTAGGGCGGGGCGGAACGTAATAGGTTCCTACTTGGCTGTCTTCGTAGCGCATTGCCCATGAGAGCATACATCCCTTTTCTCTGCATTTTTTCCAAACTTCGTCATCCGCTGGGAGAATTCTTGCTGGTGGTGGTGGAGGCGGAGGTCGTGGTGCTGGTGGTGGCGGCTGTGGTTTACCAGCGACCAACACTTTATCTAAATGCTCCAGTATCGTGAGGTTGCTCGCGGTTTGAGCATCATTCAAGCAGCTACAGATCAGAGTCAGTCATCGTATCATGTAGCCCAAGAGGTACTGGGATTGTGGAACAAATGCCTACTCTTGACATATCTCGCCAGTAACAATAACGAGGAGGGCAACCAGCCCGAAGAGCCTTGTAATCCACATTCTTTCGAGGGTTGTTTCCGATATGTGGCAGTGGAGACGGAAAGGTCAAAGAAGTAATGATGGAAATATCTGCTTAAGCTAGGCTACGCGCCTTGCTCGTGCAGCTTGTACCTCTATATTCACTCTCAAGCGGTATAAAGTGAACTGAACATCTGCCGAGACTTCGAATATCGACGACTACAATCTCTTCGGGCAGACAACCTAGATTGTTAATCCCATAGGCATCGCGTACTTCCTTAAAATAATGTGATATAACTGAACATAGCGCCACCTTTCTTTGTTGGAAGACTATCTTAGTGGTTATCAATCGTCGCTAGACAGCATCATCATGCAATTACGCATAGATTCTTGATTATAGCTTTCACTTATGACAATGGTCTTCACGCAAAGTCCCCGTAATCCAAGCAAGGGGGCAAAATAGACGCGCACGTGGTGCACCCCTTAGAGGGCTTGTTGATGGGCTATATAAAGTTTTGCGAATGCACGTGATAAGCTGGTTCGACAGCTACGAATTTCTCACTATTCCACCTCTCATCCCTCCCAATTGACACCACTCTCTTGGCCGTGTAGATGTGCAGCCTTCAAAGTATCACATGAAATTTAGCAGTACGCGTATGCGCACCGAAAAGGCGCATCTCCTTCTAGAACTTGCCAGCTTCTTTGATGGAGCTTGCTTTTGCTAAGTCCAGCCCCAGGTACCAAAAGCCGCCTCAAAGAGTTATAGTGGTACTTTCTTGAGAGATCGCGAACTAAGATAGGTAGGCATACACCCAGAGTGCAACTCGGTAAGGACTAGCTTCTTCATACAGCTTTCCTTCATGTTCTCTACTGAGATATTTCACCATCACGGTGAACGAGACTCTGAAGACTGCCTGAACCTTCCCAATGAGGCTAACCTAATTCTCCACGCTATGCATATATCCAACCAATTCTCCGGGATAGCAAGTTTTCACACCGTACAACCATCAACTAACCTCTATTTTGTGTGAAACGGCTACTAAACGTCATGCCGCCCAAAGCCACCTCAAAACCAGGGAAGAGGAAAAAGCGAGATCGTTCATCTGAAGATGATGAACGCCACCATGCCAAAGCCCGCAGGGCCAAAACTTCCAAAGTCAACCCGCCCAAGGCCCAGTCGCAATCCCTCAAAGCTCTAAAGTTACCAAGAGGCCTCCACGGACCTAAAGGTATAAAGTTAAAGCAACTCCAATACCACAAGTTTGGAGACGATGTCGTGATATACCACTACGCTGCGTCTTTCATCTCCGTCTCAGACTTTCGCTCGTTACTCACCCGCCAGCAACACGGCTATGTAAACTACCTTCTGGGCCCTGATCCACTAGCCTCCATCCCCGACCCATCAGGCGACGAGCTACCCCCAGGTTGCCTAGAAGTCGGCTACCTCCCATCCGTGTTCGTCCTAGGCGGCTCAGCACTCGGCTTCCGGCTTGATTCTAATCCACCAACAATAGAGTGGCTGTGCTTCGACAGAGATGTTAAAGAGAGTATCCTCGAGTTGCTGGAAATCAATACGCATACACAGCGCATGTTGTTTGAGCATGTTGCAAGTCTACCGCGGGCGCCGACGCCGGAGAAGAAGTGGGATAGGAGGCTTGCTTATACGGAGCACAAAGATTGGTATGAAAGTCTGAAGGAGGCAGGAAGGAGGCCGTTTAGGTTGGGGTTGACGTGGAGGAGGTGGGGGACGGAGATAATGATTGAAGGGATGAAGAAGAGGGATGAAGAGACTAGGTTGGAGGAGGAGAGAGCAATAACGGAGGGTGTTGCGGCCATGGAGATGGAAGACGACTATACCGATGCTGAGGAAGACGACGAAAGACGTGGAGAAGAAGATCGAGACACCGGGATTTTCCATGAGCACGGCTCCAGCGGCCCAAAAACCATTGGTGGGCGCTCGATCTTCGTTTACCGCGACCCAATTTCCAACCAGAACGTTACACCGCAGAGAAGTTCTAGATCAGATCGCTCACCGTCGTCCCTACAACCCCCAGCGCTCGGCAGCCGAAGTACGAATACGCGACAGACGCAGCCTCCTTCATCAAAAGAATGAAGTCGAAAGAAAGGCAATTATTAGACGGCGGCTACGTTTGAGAGGCATTGCGTCTGTACGAAGCTTCCGCAAAATGCGTTTGCTGTGAAAGTGTCGGATTAGGATCTTTCAACAATGATAATTCTGTACGATGATACCCCTCAAGGCGTGCTTTACCAGCGAATAGATTAATGACTAATGAGTAATACTCTCTTCTTAATGCTACAGCTACAACACATCGTCTCTCGTTTCTCATAATGTCGTCACTTCCACATACCTGCTACCGCGTGAGCTACGTTCTACCATTACAGATCTAGGCCTTGAGTCCAATCTCATCAGCAGTGAGGATAAACTCCATGAAACCAGCATTGGTATCAATGATATTTTGGATGTACTCCTCGCTTGTGGGGTAGAAGTTGGTTGGGTAACCAAACTCCATGGTGTAACCGTACACCTTGGTGAGCTTCTTGTTCTTGTGCCAGCGGCTGAATGACCAGTCGTCTGTAGCACCAGAAGTAGGGTAGAGACCAACAGCTTGTTGGGGAACATACTCGCGGCCACCGACGGAGATCATGGCATCAGTGGTACGGTTGGCAGCGATACGAATGTTGTCCCAGTCTTCTTGGTCAATGTACTCCTTGTACAGCTCGTCTTCGACGATACCGCGCTTTCCATCGTAAGCTGGGTTGAACAAGTTCTGCTTTGGATCATGGGATTGATCGACGTCGTCGCCCCATGAGTAGAGCAGAGTTCCAGCAGCGGAGTGAACGTCAATGTACCAGTGTATGTTGGGGTACTGGTCGTACACCCAAGCCATGTCTCTCGATTCTGGCTCGGAGAATGGTGCAGTGCCGTAGAAAGCCTGCGAAGTGGGGTTCGTTGAAGCAGGGGCAACGGAGGGGTCGAACTTCTCAGTAAAGTTCCAGAGGAAGTCGAAGTTCCTGTTGAGATCTACACCAACACTAAGAGGAACACCAGGCGTAGAAGAGGCGGGGTTGCGGTTCTTTCGCCAGAGGTTGCTGTTTGCCTGGTCGTGGTTCACACCATCAGGGTTCAGCATAGGAATGAACACGATTCCCGCCCCAAGAGCCTTCTTGACCTGGCTATTGGTGTACTTCTTGTTGCCGTAGGTCAGGCCGATGCGGTGCTCGTTCGCATAGAGCAGGTCAGAGACGAAGTAGATCAGGTTGTCAGGTCCACCGCGCTCACGTGCGTGAATTCCTAGTCGGGAGGTTAGTCTATCCTTCAAATGTGATTTTGAGCGAAGACATACCAGAAGTGAAGTAAATGTACTGCTTGTCCTTCTTGATCTTCTCCGCCTTGTTGGCAACACCACCAATGATCGATCGCCCCTCGAAGGTCTTTTCCGGCGTCGTGAAGAGCGACATGCCGTATTCCTTCTCTAGACCCTTCATGGCGGTGTAGACCTCGTCAATGTTGAAGACACCAGCATTCTGAAGTTGGGCGTACTCGCTGGGCTTCCTGGTACCGAGACCGCGAGGCGCGACCTTTCCACCCTTGAAACGATCGCCCTTGCCGATAGGTGCAGTTGCAGTCTGTCGCTTGTTCATGTTGTGCAAAAGCTCAACGCGAACGAGCTCTGGATCCAAACTTCGCTTGAAGTGGTCCAAATGGTCCTCTGAGATGACAGCGTGCAGCTTGTGTTCGCCACCTGCAGCCGTGACAACAGGACGGCAGCCATAATCGATCTCGCTGTTGGCCGAGATGAAGTCGTATAGCTGGTTCTTCTCCTTTGCGTAGAACGCAACGCTCAGGACATCTGACGCGAGAACAGCGCCAGGAAGCAAACCGAGGAGAGTGGAGACCTTCATGGCGGGCAGCGGTAAGAATGCTGCGACGAGTAGAAGTTGCAAATCGTGCAGACACAGACTGTCGCCATCTTGTTGTTATTTATTCAAAGTCGATTGCTTGGTACTTTCTATTGCCAGCCTCTTAGACGGATGAATTGCTTCCAGCTTCCTGATTCGGTAATCGGGGATGGCGTTTCCAAGACTCCAAGACAGCAAGCGTACTTGGCTGGCGTACATACTCTACGATTCTAAGCAGGTCCGAATCGTTATCTTCTGCTATGGCCACACGGATTTGTGCCTAACGCAAAACATCATGTTGGTGGTAGGCAAGCAGGATGCAGAAATGCTCTAAAGAATCCAGACTCCTGGTTCATGGTGTCGAAGGCGTTGCCAAGACTGCTGAACGCGGGTTAGCAAGGCACAGGTAATCGTGGCTGCGAAGTCGTGTGAGTGGTCATATAGATAAGCAGTATCGCGAGGCTGTCAAACTTGAGAGGCACAAAAGCTTCTTATCCATAGTTGAACAATAGTATAACAGGGTGGTTGCCACGGCTTCGGTAACGGGTGGCCAAATCTTGTAATTCAGGTATGCACGCTAAACTGGCGCGAAGCAGCAGCAGCTGCGAACGCTCTTGATCAGTTAGCTACTGTCGCGTTAGCGTGAACAAATTCCAAGTATGTTGGCGATCGTCTCGTAGAATGGGCGACATATGTGCGAGCTTGTATGAAGGAGTGTAGAGGCAGCGAGTGATGGAGCGACGCTTTCTGGTTGCCAAGACCATGTGCAGCTAACGCCTATCTCCGCGCCCAGATGTTCGTCACTTCTCATGACTCTCGTAGAAGCAAAGATGAAACCACCTTGATATCTGATTGTGTCTGCGGGGCATCTACGACTCGCGATGGAATATAACTCACTGCCTCCGGAGATTACCGTCCTGCTGCTGGGCGACTCTGAAGTAGGGAAGTCGACGTTCTTGTCGTGAGTACTATCATCCGGCGCGCGCTGTACGGCGCGACATGCGACAGCGGCGACGAAAGCGTGTGAATTGACGTCTTGTCCCATTTGCTGATGATTCAAAGTCGCCTGTCACTCGGCGTGCAACCTCAGAACGACGACCTTCCACCTTATGAGCTTCCCAAGCTGCGCGATATCGACCAGCCGTATGCCTTCGATATCACACTCTATGGCCGGCCGTACAGGCTGCAATTCTACGACACAGCCTCACCCCAGAACTATACGCTTCTGCACCCGCAATTCGTGATCCTTTGTTACGACATATCCTCGCGCGCGTCGCTCGAGTCGCTTTCTTCGACATGGCTGCCGGTAGTGAACAAGCACTTTAATTACGATGAAAACTTGCCTGTAATGGTCCTTGGTCTTAAGAGGGATTTGAGGCGACAATGGACGTTAGCGGAGCATGGCCCGGACAAGAAGGGCAAGGGCGCGAGCGTCATGCCACATGAGGGATTACAGACTGCGCAGAGAATGCTGTGCGATCATTACGCTGAATGTAGTGCGCTGACAGGGGAGCTGTGTAGGCAAGTGCTGGAGGATGTCGCAAAAACATGTGCAAAGACAACGACCAAGGATGGTGCAAAAACTCAAGCTGATGTGTGCAACCTTATGTAACTGGGCATGTCTGGAAACGCAAGTTGCGCAGGCTCGAACGTGGGCGCGATTGAACATGTCAAATACAGGCATGCATCGGATTGCTCAAATGCCACCGGTTCAAGTATCGCGGTTATGGTTGCTTGTGCGCGTGGTTACCTCGTCTCGAGGCAGACCGTTTTTTCCGTATATGGGTTCTACTACCCTCAACTATGAGTAACATTCTGTAGTGAGCTACCAACACATTTGGCAGAGACCTGGATATGTCTTGTATGTCGTGTGGACTAAAATTAGACAACGACAAGTTATAGACTCCGGACATTATATGTCCATTAGCTACATACTCCAGGGTAGCGTAGGCGGCGCTGCTACCGACAGGACTTCCTTTTTCATCGGGCTATCGCCGAAGGGACTCACCCGACCAACCACCTAGCAACTCTTCGCCAAATCCACCACCGGCCCTTCAACAAATGCCCACACCGACACCGCGGCTTATGAGATCGGCAAATGCGCCCCTGCACATCTCCAGTTAATCCTGTGCCGCTTGACAGATGGTCGAACCATACGTCACAACGACATGCAGATCGCGCTGCACGTGCCGACGCCGTGCATGATGATCCCGCCAAAACTACCCCGCAAAGGCGCCGCTTGGTACCCCAGAAGCTAACATACGTTTGATCCGCCTCCACACAAGAGGGTCAATTGCGTTGAGGGGAGCCTGGAGAGGCGAGGCATGCATGCTAGGTGGGTAACGTTGCCGAAGAAGGTATGCCGTCGTGATGCTATGATTCGGGCTTTGCATTCTACCGAGATGCATTAAAGGGTAGAAGCTCCCCACGGGGTTGAAGTCGTGCATTGCCCTGCCAGTTTTCTCTCCCATATCGCCTGCAATCACACCATGGCGACAACATTCGATCACGACAAGCTCTCCGCTGAGCACCAGCAGACCGAAAATGTCGCGGAGAAGATCTCGACTTCATCGGGCAGTGGTGAGCTCGAAGCGCAGAATATCGATCTTGAGGAGAAGGAGGCTGCACGTGTGCTGAGGAAGGTGGATATGAGACTCGTTCCAATGCTGTCTCTTCTCTACCTTGTTGCGTTCATCGATCGAAGTAACAGTAAGTGCAGGCTCTTGGACAAATTGATGTCGGAGTACTAACATATTGTAGTCGGTAACGCGAAGATTGCTGGTATGACGGACGACCTGAAAATGCACGGTAGCCAGTACAACACTGCAGTCACTTTATTCTTCGTTCCATACACGCTCCTCGAAGTACCTAGCAACATCGTGCTCAAGATGATGCGCCCAAGTCATTGGATGGCAATCTTGATGTTTTGCTGGGGTCTCGTGATGACACTTATGGGTCTAACGTCCAGCTACGGTGGGCTACTCGCCGGACGTTTCTTCTTGGGTGTGACAGAGGTAGGTGGAAAATATTCAAATCTAGACTTGACAGCATATGCTCACATTCGCAGTCTGGCTTCTTCCCCGCAGCAACGTTTCTGCTTACTCTCTGGTATCGCCGTTTCGAACTTCAGCGTCGCATGGCTGTTTTCTATGTAGCCGCCTCTCTCGCTGGAGCTTTCAGTGGTTTACTCGCCTACGGTATTGAGAAACTCGATGGTCGCTCTGGACTTGCAGGATGGCAGTGGATCTTCCTAATCGAGGGATTGATCCCAGTGGCGCTCGCGCTCTTCATCTGGAAGATTCTCCCGGATAGCCCCGAAACCGCCAAGTTCCTTACCCAACCAGAGCGCGACCTGCTGGTTTCCCGATTGTCCAACGATTCTGGGTCTGGACAGGGACAGGCCACCAACAGCGATAAGATCAGCAAAGAGCAGATCCTCACAGGTCTTTCCGATTGGAAGATTTGGGCTGCTACGGTTATTTTCTGGGGAAACACCGTTGGAGTTTATGGGTAAGTCAACGACAACGATTTGTGCTACCGATTCATGTCTAATATTTCTATACAGATTCACGGCCACCGTACCATCTGTCATCCAAGGCCTCGGCTACACGAGTGCCAATGCCCAACTCATGACCATCCCGATCTACGTTTTCGCCGCTATCCTTACCCTCATCTTTGCGTGGGCCTCCGATCTGACACGCAAGCGCTCCCCATACATTATCGCAGGCTATTCCATTGCCGTATGCGGCTTCATCGCTCAACTGGCCATTCCTAAGCCCGCCTATCCTGGCATCACCTATGGCTTCCTTTTCCCCGTGGCTGGAGGTCTATACTGCCCCTTTACCTGCCTTGTCTCCTGGATCGGCAACTCCCTCGCACCATCTTCCAAGCGCGCTGTTGGTATGGCTCTCTTGATTTCCGTGGGAAACATGGGTGGTATCATGGGAAGCAATATCTATCTTTCGCGCGAAGCACCAAAGTACACGACAGGCTTTTCGGCTAGTTTGGCCATGTGCTGTACCGCCATTCTCATGACTTTTGTGTTGAGGTGGGCGTATGCGAAGGAGAATAGACTGAGGGATGAGCTGATCGCGGAGCACGGTGAAGACGCTATTCGTGCGAGGTATTCCGAGCAGGAGTTGTTGCTTATGGGTGATAAGAGCCCTTTCTACCGGTACACTTTGTAATTTGCATCTACGAGAAGATGTTCAGCGTAGCTTCATGCTTTTGAATGTCGCAATCAGAAGGAGCGATATCTTCTTTGATGATCGAATGAGATTCTTTTACAATGTATGCATGATGGGTGTTCAGAAAATCTAGGTGATTACATCAGGCGCACTAAATGTATTCAGCTTCAGAGGTCAGTATGGCACCTAGGCACAATGCTAGGTTGCGAATGATCTCGGCTAACAGTGATTACACCATTAATCAACTAACTCGACTGGGTTTAGGCAAAGGTGAGACACTCCTGCAAAGCGGAAATTAGAAGAACCAATTTGATCTAGTTGCAAGGCATTCTTGTCAAAATCGATACACGGCTAGGATACATAGCTTTTGAAAATCATTCCAAAGTAGTCTAACGTGTACAGCGGATCAATCTGATGAAGGAGTGACAGATTCTACGTGCTACATCTCGACTGAGGAGTCTGACATTGCCTTCAACCGTAGCACTGGCCTCGGCCTACAAACTCGACCGCACTACCTATGCAACAACAGCCTTGAGAACAAACTGAGTGTTCGCAGCCTCCTTGATGGCGTATGAGATCACCTCTGTTCCGCTGGCCTTGCCTTCGCCACGAACGTTGAGCTGCTGCTTTGTCTTGCCATTGACGTTGTTGATGCTAAGGCAGAGTTGCTAACAATCAATCCAAACTGATGAGACTGACTGACTGACTGATTGCTTGGCAGTCAGTTCAGTGTCAGTTTAGAGCTCTCGTCTTATCAGTCAGTTCAGTTTAGAGCTCTTAAACTGAC